GAAACTTGGGCGTATTTGAAAAATCACCTGCAGTTCACTTGCGTCTTGAACACAATTGATCTGAATCTATAGATATGACTGATCTATTTTTGCCAGATTTCAGGTTCCTTGCATAGATAATTTCCGAACTATGAATTTTTGGAAAATGCTGTTCAAAAGTCAAAGGAAAAAATGGGTCGAACTTTGAAAAATCGCCCACAATTTGCCTGCATGCCTAACAAAGTGAAACTTTATGGAGATCTATCGAAACTGCTTGTCTATGTTTGGGATGCATTTTCGCTCTCCAGTTTGGGAAAGTTGGGAAATTGCGAATTTTTGAAAAATTTTGAATTTTCAAAAAGTTGAAGGAACTTTGGAAATTCGCCGACAATCTGCCTGCAATATTGATAAATTGAAACTTTGCAAAAATCGATCCACACTGTTTATCTATGGGTGGGAAGAATTTCGGCTGTCTAGCTTCAACAGTTTAGAAATTACTGATTTTAGAAAAATTACCTTCCACAGTTCGAAAGCAAACTTGGTCGTGTTTTCAAAAAATTAACTGCACTCAACCTGCTTTCTGAAAAAAACTGCAACAGAAAACATCTATAGATTAGATATTGGTGGAACTTTTTGATGTCTGCTTTGAACTAAGAATGTTTAGGCAAAATAGGTATGAGTTTTATTCATATTACCAAAAAAAAAAGAAATGAAAAGTTGGCGAATTTTTGAAAATTTGTCACTTACTGGCCTGCATATATCTATCAAACTTACCAGATATCTATAGATACACCTTGTCTATGATTGTGCCAAATTACAGGTTTTTAGAATGGACCATTTAGGATTTACGATTTTTTTAAGTGAGCTTAAATATTGCTTTAAAGTAAAAAAATTGGCAACAAGCAGCCTGCCCCCCTAAAAAAGTGAAACTCACGAAATATTAAATGTCGATTTTTTGGATTACGATCTGCAATAGTCGAAGGAAAAATGAGTCAAATCTTGAAAAATCGCTTCTGCACTTGAAACAAACGGAAACTCCAAAAGTTTCTATAATCGTGAACACCCGGTTATCTGGAATTGCAATTTTCCGGTGTCTAGTTTAGACAATGTGGGAACCACGAATTTTTGAACATTGATTTGCAAAACTCGAATGTTCCGCGAAACTGAAAGTTCCTTCAAATTTGAAAAATTGCCAACCACCAATCTGTACTCTGAAAAAAGTGAAACTCGCCGATTGTCTACCAGTGGCATTAGTCTATGTTTGTGCCAAATTTCACATGTCTGGTTAAACAAATGAACGAACTGTGATTTTTTTAAAATCGCGTGAAATAATCGCACAGTGGGTCAGATTTGGAAAAATCCCCAATATTCAGTCGGCAGCCCTAATAAATTTCAACTCAACAAATATCTGTCGCGATACAATTGGTCCATATCGAGCAAAACTTCAGCTCTCTAGTTGCGGGAGTTTAAAAATTGTGATTTTTTTAAACCCTGCAAATGCAGCTCTGCTTCAGAGCCAACAATTTCCAAGTCCACTGGACAGAATGCAGCAATTTATTCATAGCTTCGTTAATTTTTTTCGTGGAATTTCATCGCAACAAGTAAGAAGAGACATTGCGGGACTTTCAAGTTTTATTTCGTTTACACTTCAGCTTTGCTGGAAATAAACGAGCCAACTTTGGACGTTAGTGCCCGAGCTCGTGACAGTTTCCGCAATTTTTAAGCGGAGATAAACGGTCCCCGAGACGTATGTGCTGACATTCCGTATCAAGCTAAGTCTGATTAATTAAAGCTGTGTCAATTCAACGCGGGAAAACTTGATTAAAACCCGGCGGGAACGCGTAGAGAAGACAAAACCCTGGCAAAATTGTCTGACTGAACCGTACATTGTTTTGCAAATTTCCTCGATGAAAAGTGGAACAACTTCCAAAGGCCATTAGCGATCGTTAGTCAGTCAGTGTGAGAAATGCCGCTAATAGTGAAAAACCGTTTCGCCTAACGAAAGAAAACCCTCAGAAGAAACAAAGCCATGGTGAATCCACTCTAGCAACATTAGCGTCAAAGTGGACTAGTATTCTATCCGAATCTCGGCTCGGTTAATCTTTCAAAGGAGTCCCGGTTCCTTTAGAAAGACGCTAGCCTGAGGAACATCAAACGAGGGCCTGTTTAGTGAGGAGCAAAAAACGCGAATAATTTCTTAATGTGGTGCCAGGATGAATTAATCATGCTCATTTTCGCTCGGGCGATTCGCTACAGATTTTTACTTTCATGGCTGAAAATGCGCAATGAGACCCTTTGCAGGCCTTGATTACGACTATATTTAACAGAGAATCTTCAAATAGACTGTTTTTTTTTATAAATGAGTTGGGGGTGAGTAAGACTGGAAGCAATTTTTGAGAGATTTATCAACTCCATTTTTCATTGATTTGTGCAGGTCATTTTTCAAAAAATCATAATTCTTGAACTGTCTGAACTAGAGCGTGGCTATTCAGCGTAATTATAGACTGATGGTATCTATATCACACTGGTAAGTTTTGACTGGCTAAACGCCACTGGATAATTGCTGCGGATTTTCACCCAACTTTTGTCCTCGCATTTTGCAGGTCGTTTTAAAAAAATCGTAATTTCCACACTATTCATTCTCAGCACCTGTGATTTTTCAGAAGTATAGAGGAAGGTTATCTATAGGTACTCGGTGAGCTTCAATTATGTTGTGGTACAGGCAAGTTGATGATGATTTTTCAAAGTTTTACCAACTTTCCCGTTTGGCTTTTGCCAGTCACTCTCCAAAAGAATCATGTTTCCGAAGTTATCTAAAATCTAGTACAGAAATTTGGCCTAAACATCGACTGAAAAGTATCTGTATGTAATCGTTGAGTTTCTCTTTATAAAAATTCCAGGCTGATGGTGGGCAATTTTCTAAAGTTTCACCAACTTTTGCCTGCGACTTTTGCAGATCATGATTCAAAAGCTCGAAGCTCCCAAATTATTTCTGGTAAAAAGTTGATATTTTCAGCAAAGGTAGACGATGGATTTCTATTAGTATGGTGAGAGTTTCACTTTATCAAGGGTGCCAACTAATTGTCGGAGATTTTTCAAACATGCTTTTGCCTTCGACTTGTGCAGGTCGTTTTAAAAAAAATTGCAATTTCAAAAGTTTTCAAAGTAGAGCTCTGGAAGTTTTTGTAATTATGAAAGAGCGCTGGCCATAGATATGCGTTTAGTTTTGCTTACAAAAATTGAAAATTCCAAATTATCTACACAGAAATATTCTGAAAGTTTCACTTTATTGCAGGTCCAGACTTATCGTAAGCGATTTTTCAAAAGTTTGGCCAGCTTTCACCCTCGACTCTTGCAAGTCATTTTTCAAAAATGGATAATTCCGAAAATACGCATAATAAAGATCTGAAACAGGGCACACATATAGAGAATAGTTGTATACAGATATTACTGAAATTTCCTTTCATTATGCATCCAGGGCCAATCAGTGTCATGCCCGAAGGGTTCGGAACCAGTAGTTTTGGGGTCTTAGTTTGCGAAACTAACACTTTAAAAGCAATTTTGGAAATCGAAGTTGTGCTAAATTGTCTTCAGAGGGCGCGAAACTGGTGTAGACGTGAGAAAAACGATCAAAACTGACCGATTGTTTAGTTTGCGTCTCCCAATCAGTGTCGTGCCCTTAGGGTTCGGTACAACATCGGAACCAGCAGTTTTGAGCTCTTAATTTGTGAAACTCACGCTTTCAAAACGATGTTGGAAGTCGAAGTTCCAGTCGACTGGTGTAGACGCGAGAAACACGATCAAAACTTACCGATTATTTAGTTTGCGTCTCCCAATGAGTGTCGTGCCTGTAGGGTTCGGCACAACTTTGGAACCAGCAGTATTGAACTCTTCATGTGCGAATCTAACACTTTTAAAACGATGTTGGAAGTCGAAGTTGTGCTCAATTTTTTTGAGAGGGCGCGAAACTGTTGTAACCGCTTGTTCAAAACGAATATTTCCGAAAATATCAAAAATGCAACCTTAAATTTGTGAAAAAGGCACGTGAAATTTGTTAGAAAAAATAGACGAAATATATCAATGGATGTTCTGTGAGTTTCACTGTATTAAGGCTCACTCGTGGTTGTCAGCGATTTTTCAAACTTTGACCAACTTTTGCCTTCAACTTCAATTTTTGCAGGTCGTTTTCAAAATATCGCCATTGCCAAATATTTGGAACAAAACCGTGAAGTTTAGCACAAACATAAGCAAGTGATTACTATAAATATCCTGAAAGTTTCACTTCATTCATAAAACAGAGTAACTGTCTAGGAAACTTAAAGTTGGCGTTAATTTCGTGCTCAAAAACGCATAGAAAAACCGGAATCGTTTTGGGTTGTTACTGAACAAACGGTAGCGAAAGGAAACTTTGATTGTTTAAAACTGGCAACGGGCAAGGAATTATTCAAAAACTAATCAACTTCCAGTTGAATTAGCAGAATTTTGCAGAATTTTCGTTTGCTCGTGGCTAATTGGGTGAGTTTGGGCAATTTCCGATCACCTGGCAAATTTATCTAGAAACTCCTTGTCGGGCACCATTAAATATGCCCAAGTGCCCGAGTATCTTAACCTCGGCATGAAAATTTAATAATGACGAATCGATTGGCTCCATTTCCGGTTTTCCGACTAAATCCGGTAGATCATCGTTCCATTGAGCGACATCTGGCATTGCGAAATTAGCGCACACATTCATCCGTCTGTGCCAAGGCGTGTGTTTAACCAAACCTGATCACACGAGCATAAATGAAGTTGTAAGTTAATCAATAAAGACTCTGGTTGACTGCGACCCACCGACGACATGAAACGGAAACTTTACACCGAACAACCGGAGTTTGTTTGCTCTTACATATCTGCCGCATGGCATGAACGTTCGATGTGATTTGTTTGAAACACATGTTTCTTCGGGAATCTTCCCGAACACTGGGAGATGCGAGTGTCTAATTAAAATGTTGCCGCAAGTCTTACAAACTAATTTTTTGCAGGTTGAGCGTCCAAGGAAGATCAGCAATTGAAGTAGTGGAAGATGCAGCGGCTCAGGACCACTTTCAAGCGCTCCCGAACACCCACGGGGGCCGAAATGAAGATGCAGAGCAGCCTGGAGGTGCCCAAACAGGCAAGACTGAGTTTACTCCTAAAAAAAATTGGCAAACTAACTTTTTGTGCAGATTCGTTCGGCTTCCTTCGATGAGATCCAGCTGGAGGCCAAACGACTGCAGGCCGGCTCTTCGGGAGAAGGTCCAGCTCTTCTCGGGGTCCCTCACATGGATCAGCGCTCTCGCAGTGTGGATTCAGGAGGATCTGAGGAATCTGGAAACTTTCTGGAAGTGCCTAACCGGTTGTTCCAAAGAAGGCGCTCCTCTGGCAGCAAAAGTTCGGTAAGCACCACAACTTACATAGAATTACATAGAAGCTCTACTCCACTGTGTTCTCACTCACACTTGTTGCTCTTTGGTAGATTTGCGTCCATTGCACGTGCAAGGAGGAGTACGATCGGCTCCATCCCTTGGAGGAGCTGGCGACAGGTCCTCCAGAATGGCTGCCATATCTTACCGATTCCTCCAGCGATGAGGAGGAAGATTCGGATGAGGATGAGGCGAACAACAGCCGCGACACGACCGAGTGCAGCCGCATCACCACCCACTGCAGCCAAGAAACGACCGACTACAGCCGGGAGAACAGCGGAACGGACAACAGCAGGGAGAACAGTGTCGATCCTCCCGAGTTTGTGCTGACTGTTACGTTGCTGCCTTCGCTGCCGATTGTTATGTCGCCTCCGCCGATTCCCTCTTCGCCTGTGATAGAGTTTTTCCCTCCGGATGCTGAGCCGGATGTGCCTCTCACGCCCACACAGTCCAGGTAAGCCCTACCTCCAAAAGTTCTTAAATGGTTGATCGCGTTACCAGTGGGCTGCTGCTTGTGCTGAAGATATTTGAAGGATCTTCAGTGGATGAGATGTGGAAAGTTTGGAACGTGTCCCCACTTTAAATTGGGATTTTCTGGAGGGGAATTGGGCTGCTGTAAAACGCGTTGAATGAGGAGGTAGACACGCAGGAGATGCAAAGTAGTCATTTGGTGCTACAGAAGCGAAAGAAATTAGGGAAAGTGGAATGAAAACATGCAAAAAACAGTTTTGGAAAGTTTGAAGAGAATGTGGACGTCCATGTTTTGGCGTAAGATGAACTAGAAGCTGATTTCTGGAGATTTTTTGATTTTTGTCTCCTTTTGAGTTCTGCGGGACATTTTTCAAAAAATCGCAACCCTCAAACTCTCCAGATTAAAGAGTTGAAATTTGGCCCAATCATAGACTAATAGTTGCTCTGTCTAACCTGTGAGGTTCAGTTTATTGCAGCAACAGGCTGATTTTTGCTGATCTGGTTAATTTTGACCCAACTTATACCTTTGGATTTTGTAGGGCGTTTTCAAAAATTCGCAATTTTTCAAGTTTCTGAACTAGAAGCCTGAAATTGGTAGTATCTAGCTGGAGTTTTGCGTGCCTGATGGTCCACCGTCCAAGTTTCACCGACTTTTGCCGTCAATATTCACTATTGCAGGTGGTTTAAAAAAAATCTAAATTTCCAACCCGTCTAAAGTAGAAACCTGAAATTGTGAGTGAAGGAAGTCAGTTGACATATATAGATTTTCGGAAATTTTAAATTTATTTACTGTTCAGCATTGTGGGTGGCGATTTTTTCAAATTTGACGAACTTTCGCTTCCATCTTTAACTTTTGCGGGCGTTTTTATAAAATCGTTATTTCCAAATGATCCAATCTAGAGACCTTGAATTTTGCACTAGTATAGGCAGGTGATATCCATAAACGTTCTGAAAGTTTCACTTGCATAACTCTCCGGGCTGGTTGGGGTCGAATTTTTTAAATTTGACCAATTTGGGCCTTTAACCGCAGCTTTTGCAGGTCGGTTTTAAAAAATCGTAATTTCCACATGATCCAAACTAGAGAGTTTAAATTTTGCACTAGTAGAGGCAGGTGATATCCATAAACGCTCTGAAAGTTTCACTTTCATAACTGTGCGGGCTGGTTTGGGTTGAATTTTTTTTTATTTGACCAACTTTGACCTTTAACCCCAGCTTTTCCAGGCCGGTTTTAAAAAATCGTAATTTCCACATGATCCAATCTAGAAAGTTGAAATTTTGCACTAATAGAGACAGGTAGTATTCATAAACGTTCTCAAAGTTTCAATTGCGTAACGGTCCAGGCTGATTGGGGGCGATTTTTTTAAATTTGGCCAACTTTTGCCTTTTTATAAAATCGTAGTTTCCGAAGCATCAAAACTAGAGCCTTTAAATTTTGGATGAGTATAGGCAGGTGATATCCATAAATGCTGTGAAAGTTTTGGTTGCATCACTCTCCAGGCTGGTTGATAGCGAATTTTTTTAATTTGGCCTATTTTTACCTTCAACTTCAACTTCAACTTTTGAAGGCCGTTTTAAAAAAATCAATATTTCCATATGAACCACTCTGAGAATCTACTATAGAGACTTGAAATTTTGCGCTCGTGCAGGCAGGTGATGTCCATAAACGCTCTGAAAGTTTCACTTGCATAACTTAACCTCAGCTTTTGCTTGGTCTTTAACCTCAGCTTTTGCAGGCCGTTTTTAAAAAAAACGTAATTTCCGCAGCTTCCAAACTAGAGATTCGAAATGTTGTGTGAGTATAGGCAGGTGATATCCATAAATTATGTGAAGGTTTCGGTTGCATCACTCGCCAGGCTGGTTGATGGCGAATTTTTTAAATTTGACCAACAGCCTTCAACTCCAACTTTTGTAGGCTGTTTTTAAAAAATCGTAATTTCCACATTATCCAATCTAGAGACATGACATTTTGCACGAGTATAGGCAGGTGATATCGATCAAATAATGGCGATTTTGAAAAATCGGCCGGCTTTGGCTTCCTTCTTCAACTTTTACAATTTGTTTTTTAAAAAATCTTAATTTTCATATCATTCGAACTAGAGACTTGAAATTTTACACCAGCATAGATATTCAGAATCTAGAAATATCCAAAGAGTGCCACTTTACCAACAAAATCGGGCTTCTTGAAGGCGATTTGTCAAAATGTTTCCATTTTTTTCTTTCAACTTGGACTTTGGCAGCCTAGTTTTTAAAAAATCGTAATTTTTAATCGAACTAAAGTAGAGACTCGAAACTTGGCATGAGCATAGATAGATCATATCTATATGCATCCGGCTACTTTCAATTGATTAACTAATCCGCCTCCTTGGTGACGATTTTTTCTAATTTGACGGTTTTTGCCTACGACCTCGACATTTTCAGGCCGATTTAAAAAAAATCGTAATTTTCAGACGATGCAAGCTATGCTATGCAGGAGACAAGATACTTTGCATAAGCATAGGAAGATGGTACTTATAAATTTTCGAAAAGTTTGAAAGAAGATTTCCTAAGAATCCAAATTTTTTAAAATTTGACCAACTTTTGCCTGCAACTTAAACTATTGCAAATCGTAATGTTGAAAAAAATTGTAATTTTCAAATTATTAAAACTAGAAACTTAAGATGTTGCGTACACATAGATAAATTGTACCTTCAGAAATTCTGTGATTTTGATGTGAATAAGGATGTTGGCTGGTTCTTGGCCAGTTTTCAAAATCTGACCAAGTTTTACCTTCAACGTTTGCAGATCCTTAACCAGATAAAAATCGTATTTTTCAAATCATATGAGGTAGAGACTTGAGATTCTGAAAAAACGTAGATAGAAGGTATCTATAAATATGTTGAGACTTTAGATAATTTTCTAAGTTTGACTAAATTTCGCCTTCAACTTTAGCAGATCGTTACTAAAAAAATCGTAATTTTCAAATCATCTAAGATAGACACTTGAACTTCCACACGAACGTAGATATTATAAATTGCCACTTTTGCCACGAAACTCAGGCCCTAATTTTTCAGTTTCATTTCAGTTCTTTTATTTACTTCCATTTGTCAATTAAAAGGCTAAAAGCTTGCAAAATTTTGAGAACCGCAACCTTTAGCAATCATGTTGGATTGGATTCTATAGTTAAAGGGCTTGTGAGGCAAGAATAACGTGATATGGATGAAACGCTAGAATGTTGCCATCATAAATGGGATAAGAAATTAAAATTAATTAGAAGGAATACGACGAAAGGTCACCTCTGTTCCACTTAACACTACTCCGTTAAGTTGGTTTAAAGCAGGAATTTTCGGCGAAGAAACCATCCTGACTACATCTATCCAACAGGCCGCAATACGAAGAACTCTGCTTACAGAAGTCGCCTTTGTTGAGCTGGCAACTACCCAAAATTGCCATGGATTTTGCCAATTTTATACATCAAAATCAAATGTAAACGTTTTGCACAGTTCAGCTAACGCAATTGAAAATTAAATTTATAATATTAATGACAGCAGCAGGTTATTGGGCTGCGTATAATGGAATAAACATTTGGATTTCAGCTACAGCGTTTTAACCTGGGCCGACTAGAAATTTCAATTGCCGGTTCCCGTGTCAAATGGCGACGTCATTTTAATTAAAATCGCCGAAAATCGTTACGAAACACTTAATTTTCCGCCTAATTTCAAGCTGATATCACAATGATGGAAGCCAGCATCCAGATTTTCAAAATTTTGATGGTTTTCAGACGCAAATCGATTCATCGGCAAGAGGCTTTTTTCGCTGAACCCACTGGAACCTCACTGGAGAACATGACCGATGCCCACTCAGAACCGTACTCAGACGGAACGTCTGAGGGCGTCCAATCGGAAGGCGACGTCCCCCATACCACCATACCGGGCCTGGTGGTAAGCGATATTTATCTGCAAGTAAGTTAAGTTCACTTACAATAGAACCAAGTCCATAAATCTGATCTCATGCCTCCCGCGGGGTATAATATATGATAACTGAATTCCTGCTTGGAGCGCCAATAGGGCCGCTATTCGGTCGGCCAAATATAAATCTAACCGGCACAAATTGCTGGCTGAGAGCCGAGGAACCGATTAAAGAAGTAACCCAGTTCGTTCTGATAATTTATCCGGATCCAGGGCGGAGCCGGAGCGTTTCATAAACATAAACAAAACGAAGTGCGTTCATTCGACTGCCAGTCGGGCCTTTATCCTTGTCAAAAGTCCCATTATGGAGGTCTTTAGTCAATTAGGGCTCCGAAATATGGCAGCTTTTAGCAGGAAGTAAATTATTATCAGCAGCAGTTACAGATTGCCTGTCCAGGATTTTTTAATTAAATAATTCTGCTGGGTTCTTGCAGGTGCCTGATCTGAAGCGTGATAGAGCAGCATCGGTCGACTCCTGCTTCTCCAAAGTGCCGGAGAAAAAGACTGAAGAGCTGCAGCACTCGGGAGTGAGTTTGGAGGTTCCAGTGGGCCCCAATGTGGCGCTCAGATCGCGATCAGTGGACATTGTGCTTCCTACTGACGAGCAGGCCAGGTACAAAGCTTTGGCCATGACTGCACCGCCACCAGCCGCACAAGCCGCTAGGTATGATTCTCATTCTTCTTCATCTTCTCATTATCATCTCTCACCATCTAGAGTGCCACCACACTTTCAGGTGCGCAATTTCTTTCGTTATGGAGCTTAATAGTTTTAAATGCACTGCAAACAATACTTTATTTAAAAAACAGTGATTTTTAAGGGCCTGATTGAGGCGTTTTTCCAGTTGTCTCGTGAAGCTTTTGTCAATTTTTCCAGAGTTATTTATACAGAGACCGCTTGACCAAAAGCCACCAAATTTACACCGCAGGTAAGTTGCGGCTTTTTGTGTCGAGTGCAGAAGCCCCCTTTCTGATCCCTAGAAGAACTACTTGGAAATTCACTGCGGAAGAGCATGGCGCATAGCTGAAAAGTTGCGCAAAAACGTTGCAAACTAGAAGAGTTTATTTTGGAAAATTTGCCAGTGCGGATGCAACCAAGTTTGCACGGCCAATCAACTGGGCTTTTTTTAACTGCCGTACATAGCGAGCACTCAGCTTCGTCTAGTAGTGGCTCAGAAGAGCATGGAGTAAAAATGCAAAACCGCGCATTAATGTCGAAGGTTTCAACTTTTCGCGTGCAACCGAATTTACAGGCACGACTAAAGCGAACCTTTTTTACAAGCTCGTAGAACACGCGTTCGAATTTCGTAAGCGCTTGCTCAGAACTGAGTTTCAGAAGGACATGGTGTAAAAATGAAGACATGCTCCAAAACTGCCCGAAGTTCGAAAATTCGTTGTTAAGGAGCCAGTGGTGAGGAGTCGAACCCACTGCACTTAAATTGATTGACTGATTGACTTAAAAATTAAATGAACTTGGTTTATCGGCCATTCCTTCCATCCACTCCTTACGCATGGCTGATATGAGCATTGAAATGCCTCCGGTGGTTATGGAGTAAGAAGACCAGAGGAACGTAATTCAAAAAATGAAAATCGTGCAAATTTTTTTCAAAGTTCAAAAATTAAGCGTGAAAAAACTACTGTCTAAAATGGAACCATATAGACTCCGAGCCTTAACGGAACCTTCCTGTACAGCGTGCTGTAACCCTCATGTCGATCAGCGTCTGAGAAATGGGCTTCAGAAGGGCATAGTCTAAAATTGAAAAACCCGTCAAGAACTTCGCAAAGTTTTAAAATGCGTTATACGCAAACCACTTCGTGGAATGGAACCAATTTTACAAATCTGGTAAACGGAAGCTTCTTTTGTTGGCTGCTGTTCTTCGAATTGTAAAACAGTTGGCAGTTTAGCAGGCATGAGCCTCAGAAGATCGTAATGCAGACGCAAAGAAGCGCCAAAAATATTGTCAAAGTTCAAGAATTATTTCTGAAGACACTACAAGCTGGAATGGAACCATATGCACTACCGCCCTTAATGAAAGCTTTCTGTATGGCAGGGTTGAACCGTCATTTCCATATCTCCAGGAGCGTCTCAGAAATGCGCTTCAGAAGTGAATAATGCAAATTTCAAAAACCCGCAAGGGCAGAGTGTGAAATTGAGAAACCCCTAAAAATTTTCTCAAAGTTTGAAAATGCGTTATAACCAAACCACTTTATGGAATGGAACCAGTTTTAGAAATCTGATAAACGGTAGCGTCTTTTGTTGACCGCTGGTATCCGAATTGTAAAATATTTGGGGTTTAGCCCCAATTAGTCTGAGAAGATCGTAATGCGAAAAAGCGCCCAAAATCTTGTCAAAGTTCAAGAATTATTTCTGAAGACGCTACAAGCTGGAATGGAACCATATGCACCATATCCCTTAATAAAAGCTGTCTGTATGACAGGGTGTGCCCTTCATGCCCACAGCTTAGGCAGCGTCTCAGAAATGAGCTACAGAAGTGTATAATGCAAATTTGAAAAACCCGCGAAGAATTTGTTAAAGTTTAAGAATACGTTCTTGATCAACGAACATTTGGAATGGAACCACTTTTATAAAACTGATAAATGCAAGCTTTCTGTATTCATGGATGGTATGCCAATTCAAATATCTCCGATGGTTATGGAGTAAGGAGCCCCAGAGGAACGTAATGCAAAAAATGAAAATCGCTCAAATGTTTTTCAAAGTTCAAAAATTAAGCGTGAAAGAACTGCTATCTGAAATGGAACCATGTACACTCAGACCCTCAACTGAACCTTCCTGTATGGCGTGCTGCAACCCTCATATCAATATATCGATCAGCCTCTGGGAAATGGGCTTCAGAAGGGGATGGTGTAAAAATGAAGAAATGCTCCAAAACTGCCCGAAGTTCGAAAATTCCTTGTTAAGGAGCCAGTGGTTAGGAGTGGAACCCACTGCACTTAAATTGAACGCGGTTTATCGCCCTCTGGAAGCCACATTCCGATAACTGAATGTCTGAAACGGTTACCTCGAACAGGGCTTCAGAAGGGCATGATGCAAAAATCAAAAACCGCTTTAGAACATTTCAAATTTAAAAAATTAATTCTCAAGCAATTAGAAACTCATATAAAACTCAATCGATTCCGGGCATAAAGAAGCCTTTCATTACCGGTCACATAAAATTTCCAATTTGATGTCTCCAATGAATGCTCAGAAATTTGTCTCAGAAAAGTATAGTTCAAATGCTAAAATTGGCACAAAAAATCTTCAAAAATTTCTTACTCGAATAAAACTAAGTTTAAAAACCCTGTAAACTGGAGCTTCGGTGATCAACTACTGAAATCCACAGTCTGAGATCTGAAGCAGTTGCTCAGAAATGACCGTCCCAAGAGCATGGTGTTAAAATACAAAATCGCCCAAAACTCTCCAAAGTTCAAAAAATCGTGCAGCAGCAACCACTGGGTGGAACAATCCCAAATTCACTCCCGAAATCAAGTGAACCTTCCTCTATCGACTGCTTGACCCCTCATTTGGACCACTTAAGCCGATGCCGAAAAATACTCTTCGGAACAATATGATGTTTGTAAAGCGGGTCTCCCGCACGAGCCAAATGGGACTATATCGCAACCCGTGGCCCATCCAAACCGCCAAAACACCTTAGAACGAGCCCTAAAAAGGCAAACTTCCCCATTCCATACACCTGAAGACGGATATTCTTCTGCAGGGACCAATAAAAAACAATTTTCCCTCAATAAGAAGCGAATTCGGCCGCTTGCTGTCAGTCAGCAAGGCGAACGCGCCTTTCTCTCAGGGGACCGGCGAAATAATTGGGTATAGAACTAAACAGACATAACTGGCTTTTCCGAAAAGAGGAAAAGCTACGCAATCCACCGGGACCCTATTGAAATAAACTATTCAAGAACAAGATGGAAAAAATGCCCGCAAAGGCTCGCCCATCGTCTCTCAAGCAAAGCGCATTTCCTTCCTGAATGTTTAAAATCGCCGACCTTTTTCCCAGTTATTTTTCAAAACCTGTTGTCCTGCGGCGTTTTGATAAACTGCCATTGGCCCGAAATTTACAACAGGAGAAAATTGGAAGGTAAGTGAGTTGTCGGCAATTGGACAGATATTTATGGCAGGCGAAACCCCTTGGTGCTATCTGGATCGGTTTATCTGGAAAAGTGTCTCGGGGTTTTATAGTGTTTTCAATGTTTTTTTGTTGACGGAAAAATCAGGTGCTAATCGCATGTTTATGGCTGAGTTAAGCGCGCGATTTCCTAGGGTTTTTTTTTCAAACACTTTTAGAGGAAGAACCGGGTGATTAGGCAACTATTAAGGAAAAAACGCTAGGGTTTGCCTTCGCTTTGGTCTTCACTCTGTCGGTTTATAGTGACTTTTCCAGTGGAGGTGGTAGATTAAAGCTTCCTCTATCGACTGCTGGTCTGTATGTTCCGGTAGCTTCAGCAGTAATGTAGAAATGAGCTTCAGAAAACTATGATGCAAATGAAAAACCGCGCCAAAACTTTTCACAGATCAGGAATTGATTATGGAAGAATACGAATACTACTGGCTTGAATGAAACTAATTGCACTGGAAACAGAATCTTTCGCTCTTACGCATTGGATCCAGCGTGTTCATATGTCAAGTAGCGTCTCAGAAATGAGCCTCAGAAGGGCAGAGTGTGAAATTGAGAAACCCCTAAAAATTTTCTCAAAGTTTGAAAATGCGTTATAACCAAACCACTCTATGGAATGGAACCAGTTTTAGAAATCTGATAAACGGAAGCGTCTTTTGTTGACCTCTGGTATCCGAATTGTAAAATATTTGGGGGTTTAGCCCCAATTAGTCTGAGAAGATCGTAATGCGAAAAAGCGCCCAAAATCTTGTCAAAGTTCAAAAATTATTTCTGAAGACGCTACAAGCTGGAATGGAACCATATGCACCATAGCCCTTAATAAAAGCTGTCTGTATGACAGGGTGTGCCCTTCATGCCCATAGCTCAGGCAGCGTCTCAGAAATGAGCTTCAGAATTGTATAATTCAAATTTGAAAAACCCGCCAAGAATTTGTCAAAGTTTGAAAATGCGTTCTTAATCAACCAATGTTTGGAATGGAACCACTTTTACACAGCTGATAAACGCAAGCTCTCGTTATTTATGGTTGGTATGGGAATTGAAATAGTTCCGGTGGTTATGTAGTAAGGAGCCCCAGAGGAAGGTAATGCAAAAAATTAAAATCGCGCGATTTTTTTTCAAAATTGAAGAATTAAGCGCGAAAGAACTACGTCGCTAGCTCCAACCCTTAACTGGACCTTCCTGTACGGCATGCTGCAACCCTCAAATTCAACGTCTGAGAAATGGGCTTCAGACGGGCATTGTGTAAAATTGAAAAACCCGTCAAGAATTTCTCAAAGTTTGAAAATGTGTTACAACCAAACCATTCCATGGAATGGAACCAATTTTTCCAATCTGATAAACTAGGGCATCTCTTGTTGACTGCTGTCCGAATTGTAAAATATTTGGTGGTTTAGCAGTAATGAGTCTTAGAAGATCTTAAGGCAGAAGCAAAAAAACGCCCAAAATCTTGTCAAATTTCAAGAATTGATTTTGAAGACGCTACTAGCTAGAATGGAACCATATGCACTACAGCCCTTAATCAAAGCCTTCTGTAAGGCAGTGTCGGACCTTCATACCTATATCGCAGGCAGTGTCTCAGAAATGCGCTTCAGAAGTGAATAATGCTAATTTCAAAAACCCGCCAAAAATTTGTCAAAGTTTGAGAATTCGTTCTTAATCAACCAATGGTTGTAATGGAACCACTTTTACAGAGCTGATAAACGCAAGCTTTCTTTATTAATGACTGGCATACGAATTGAGATGCCTACCGTGGTTATGGAGTAAGGAGCCCCAGAGGAACGTAATGCAAAAAAATCAAAATCGCGCAAATTTTTTTCAAAGTTCAAAAATTAAGCGTGAAAGAACTACTGTCTGAAATTCAACCATATACACTCCAATCCTCAAGGGGACCTCCCTATGTGGCGCGCTGGAACCTGCATGTCAATATCTCGATCAGCGTCTGAGAAATAGGCTTCAGAAGGGCTTAGTGTAAAATTGAAGAACCCGTCAAAAATTTCTCAAGATTTGAGAATACGTTAAGAAGGAACCAGTACTTCAAATGGAACCAGTTTTACCGCACGTATAAACCGAATATTTTTCTATCCATGGCTTTTATTATAATTCAAATGCCTTAAGGAGTTGTGGAGGAATGAGTCTCAGAAGAACGTAATGCAAAAACTAAAAACCGCGCTAAAGTTCAAGACCAATTCTTCTGGAACCACTGGCAGTAGTGGAACCATAACAGTCCTACCCTCAATTGAGGCTTCCTGTTTGGCATGCTGAGCCCCCATTCCTTGGTCTCAAACAGCGCCTCAGAAATATGCTTCAGTGGCATGGTGTAAAATCAAAAACCTTCTCAATAATTTATCAAAATTGTAGAATTTATTATGCAAGCCCGAGAGCTTTGGGCACCCGTCAGACTAAGGGCAATATTTTACCTTTAAAACTCTATCGACATATCAATTTTATCCCCACTGGTTTCTTCGAAATTATTTTTTGAAAATCGGCTTGTCGCTTTTATGGATCCTAAATCAATGAAGTCGAAGTCAATATGTGAAAATTCTTAAATATTCATCCACAGAAGCAACTGAGGTAAAAAAATTCACATACTTAGGCAAAAGATTTGGCTTGAAACTGGTGCTCAAGCTGATTTCGTGGCTTAACTAGTTTCTTCATAAGCCTGCACGACCAAGCGACGTAAGCCTGCACGACCAAAAACTCCCTTCGGAGTTGGTTCATTCCGCGTCCGTTTGCACCCCATAAAACCGACACTTTATTGCCAGTCATATTTGGCCAACCACATCGTTGCCTCTTTCTTAATATTGAGCGAGTTTAATTAAGAATTGAGCGCACAGGGATTTTATTATAGAGGCCGCCAGCTCGCTCGTTGCAGATTTATTGGAAGGCCCGAAGCCAGGCAATTTCCACCGGTAAAATTGCCAACAATTAGCTAACGCAACAATGCAACGTGTAACAAGCAACGATTTTTTTACGATAGGGCTTTGGCCATAGTCTATGAAGATAAGGTGAATAAATAGAGCATTTTCCATATGCATGTTGTGTGCGGGCTTTTATTCAGTTTGACGAGACAGTGCGCGGAAAATGTATTGTGGAAATTGGCAAACTGATACCGTTCAGTCGTTCCTAGAAAGTTATTTGAAGTGAAAGTGGTTTTTTTTGGTTCGGGATTTAGCCCCATTTAATCTGGCCCAGAGTAGGGCTTCGAGCTTAGAATCGGGGTTTCCTTTGAGGCGATTCGCTAACAATTTACTGAAGGAATTTTCGTAGAAATTGGGACAAAACGAGCAGAGTGTATTGGCAATATTTAGGCAGGAAGAGTATTTTTAGACAGCCAGGAATCGTCGCCATATGAAACGTATTTTGATTGTTTATTTGGCATTTGTTTGAGTGCCTGACGCAACTGCAACAACTCTAACCGCAAATCATTTTTTTTTAAAGTCCAGTGCTTTGGAAAACTTTCAAGGGTTTTTGCTCGGGAAGTCGCTTTGTGTCATGCTCTTCTGAAGCCCGTTTCTGAGCAATCACTTTGAACAGCGCAGCACGGATTGCAGAAATGTAGAGCGGAAACGTCAGTGTATCTGTAGTGTATGCGTGGTTCTATTTGGTTCTACAGTTTTTGAATAAAACATGTTTGAACTTTGGTAATTTTGTGCTCGGGTTTTTCATTTTGTCGCCATGAGTTTGTTTAGCGTGTTTCTAAAGAGCAATTTGAGACAGCCCAGCGTTGATTTCAGCAGTTGACCAAAAAGCGTCATTTTACATGTTTTGGAAATTTCGTTCGATTCCATTGAGTGGTTCTCTAATACCAATTTTTAAAGTTTGGAACTTTTTGTGCGCTCTTTCGTTTTTCATCATACTCTTCTACTGCTTGTCTCTCAATAACCATCGAGACTTTCAAGTTTGGACTGTATCACTTAATAGAGGAAGCTTTAGTTGACTAGTGGTGCAACCTTGGTTCCATTTCAGCAGGACTTTTTGTGATAATTTACGTGTGATTTCTGGAATTTTTTTGAGCGATTTTTTTGAGTTTTTACATCAAGTTCTTCTAATACTCCCCTCTAAAAGATCAGTTGAGAGTGCGAAAGGTGGAAATCATCAATCAATAGAGGAGGCTTTATGTGGCTCGTGGGAAAATTGTGATTCCATTCGAGCCAATAGTTCCTTCATGATTAATTTTTGAAGTTTGGATTTTTTACACGATTTATTGTTTTTGCCTCACGCTCTTCTAATGCTTATATCTTCGGCACCGTTTGAGATTTCCAAATGCAGACCTCAGAAATCAAGAGAGGAAGCTTTGGTTTAACTATGGGGTTAATTTGATTCCATTTTAGCGTGTGGTTCCTTCATTATTAATTTTTGAAGTTTGGATTTTTTTTGCGCGATTTTTTGTTTTTGCAATTTGCTATTATAACGTTTGTTTCTAAAGAACCGTTGCAAGCTACTAAACTCGGAACCCATCAATCGATAGTGGAAACATTGCGTGCCTAGGGGTGCCTATTTGGTTCAATTCAAGATACCGGTTCCGGTGTGATTAAATTTTTAAGTTTAAATTTTTTTGCGCGGTTTTTTGCTTTATTATCATGCCTTCTTGAAGCTAATTACCGAGCAACTACTCTGACAATGGCGAAAGGTATTTCAAATTTTATGCAGAAAAAGCACGTTTGGCAGATTTCGTTAGATGCAAATTCACAATTCTTTTAAAATATGTATTTGAAGTTTGGGCTTTTTGTGGCGAATTTTTGTTTTTCCGTCATGCAGTTTTGAGCTTCATTTTAAAGAACGCACTTGAGCTGTTGCAAAAATAATATTAGCTGTCGATAGAGGAAGCTTCAGGCCACTGGAGGCCTATATTTGGTTTGATTGAAGCTTATGGTTCGTGGAGAATTAATTGGTATCTTTGGAAAGTCTAAGCTCGGTTTTTTGTCTTTGCATCATGCTCTTTTGAAGCTGATATCAAAGGAACCAAATGGCAGGGTTAAAATGATAATTCTATAAATCGGTAGACGAAGCTCGACTCTTCTCGTGGGGTAAATGTGGTTAAATTCCAGAAAGCAGTTAATTTAGCATTTATTCCTGAACTTTGGTAAATTCAGCGGGCATTTCAGGGCGCGGGTTTTCATTTTAACATTTTGCCAATTTGGAGCCTGTTTCTGAGCAACCAATAAGAGAATCAGAATGTGTCTGTCTGGATTCGATTAAAAAGGCTTTAGTCTACTAGCGGTGAAATCTTCGCTGATTTGTAGGCTGTGGTGCCTTTAGCTGCTTAAGGAACCAACATGCCGGTGAAGGAGAATAAACGCGAAACCTAAGCGTATGTGAACTGTGAACTTGGTTTCATTTGGAAAAGTTGTTTCCTCAAATTTTTTTTTTATGTGGAGAGTTTTTGCATGGATTTTCATTTTTGCGGCATACCTTGCCAAAGCTCATTTCTGAGCACCCACTAACGGAGCCAGAGGGCAAAGCTCTGAAATCGATCAAGGTGACTCCATTTTATTCGTAGTGTGAACCTGATTAGATTCGCCTTCGTGGTTTCGGCAGAATTCACTTTTGAACTCTGTAATGTTTTTGAGGGGGTTTTATTTTTGCATGCTGTCATCCCAAAGCCCATTTCTGGCAAACCACTGCAAATATCAGAATGCGAATTCAAGGAGTGATTAGCCAAAGCTTCAGTGTTCTCGTGGTGTAATCTAAATTTCACCAGAGCTTCTGGTTTTTTAGTTAAAAATTCTTGAAATTCCGGATATTTTAGGGTAATTTTTCACTTTTACATCATGCTCTTCTGAAGCTGATTTCCGAGCAATCAGGACACACATCAAAATGCCGATTTAGCAGCAAATAAAGGAAGTTCTCTTTGCTGATCCAGCCAACATTAATGGACTACAAACATTTCAGTTTGAGGATTTATCCAAATAAATTTGGGGTCGATGTGGGAAAAGTCAAGTGCATTTTTTGCTATCTATCGATGAAAGCAATCAGATTGACGCTTTGATAAACTCATTGGAAGCGGAATATTAATAAGAAAATTTCCGAAAAAAATGTGAACAGAAAACAGGGAGACGAAACGATGCTAACTGTGAGTCGCAAACGTGGATTAGTGCGAAATCGATCGGTTTATTACAAGAACCGAACAAGGTGAGCAATAAGTGATGGTCATTTTCTTATTGTCGGTGTCTGTTTGCCCGTTACGCGCCTAATTGAGCCGGATGGGTCAGATTTGCCGAGACGGATTTCAGGAATTCGTCCTAATTGACTAATTTTCGCCAGATCAGGGCAAAATAATTCGCCTGATTTTGCCCCGAGAAGTGTGTAAAAATCCACGTTCTCCTAATGGCACACAATGTCCAATAAATGGGGCTTGAAGGCAGGAAGGCCGCGTTGTTTATCTCGCTGTTGATTTATGGTAAATTTCGCTTAAAATTCGCTTGCTCAGTTCGGGTTTCATTGTTGCAGAAGATCAACTGGACCGACAGAACGTTCACATAAAGGCACTCCGGATTGGGGCGAATCGGCAGCCATTGGCGACCATCTGTGGGTTTCCACGGCTGTTTCAGGCGAGTTTTGCTATGTGGGAGACACTGAATGTCAGGTAAGTGAAACTTTGAGCCTAAAATCCAGCAGGGAAATAATGGTTAATGAGGCAAAAAGTGCAACATCAGCTTTAGTATAAAGCGGAAAATACCGATGGATTTGTCCAATATTCATCTTGGAGAGGCTTTAGCATTGACACCGCAGTAATTTGGAATTCCAGGACAGTTTCGGGATTTCGCCCCACCTGGCAAAACGAGCAAAGCTCTGTCTGTCCGGATCAGGTTTCTCGGAAAACTCTTAGCAATGTGGCTTCGGGATCAACTAGAATCAATCAAACAATTCAAACAGTTGAGGCTGTTTAGCTGCTACTGTTGCCTGGAATTTTCCAATTTTGCGACTTAATTAAACGCTCGATTTCCTCCTGCTGGCAACCGGCAACTAAAGGAAAAACGTATCCGAGCAGCAGTGGAGCCAAAATCCTGCTCAATTGAGGCTTTGCGGTAAACCCCTGGATATTAACTCCGAGTTCAAGTGATTCAACCGCCAGGTTGAACTGATAGGAGCGTATTTTTCTGCCTTAAATCCTGCAGGGAAAACTAGGCAATATTTTATATATTTCGCAAAGTCCATTATCAACCTGATTAGGTAATTCCGGGCAATTCATCACTTTTGAGGTCAAGCGCCTTATTGAACAGCAGACGAGGAAATTTATGGTGTTTTGTGGAAGAATCAACGATAAGTTGTTAATTAGGGTTAACTAAGGGTAAAGTTTCACGGTGCAAATGATCGCTCCAGGCACCTGCTGTTCACTCCAGAAACCCGTTTTTCACATTAAAATTTCATATTTTTCCACGTCCCCGAAAAAGGGCCAGTTTTAATTAAATCAAATATTATTATATTCTTTTCTTCCTGGGTTTCAGTCCAAGTGTGAAATAAAAAAAAACATACGGTTTATTTCATAAAGTTTCGGCGAGACAACAACGCCATCATCAGATTTAAAATTCATACAAACTCATAATTGGGAAAGGTTAGATTCTTTTAGGTCTTTGCTGTCTTGAAACCTCAAATTTGTTTCATCATTTGGGATTTTTTTCCCTCCAGAACTTATGAATGTTTTAACGTTTTATAAATTATAGTTTTTATACAACATGTTTTAATTGTGAATTGGTGTTTGTAGTTTGTGTAAATTTTAAACATACTGAAATAAACGCTGTTCAAAATTTTTACTTCACACTTTGACTGAGACCCAGGAAAGATAAGAATATCATAACAAATACACGAAGTCCGGAAAATAAATCAAAATTAAATCAAATTAAAACTTCATGGATCGAATCAGTCAACTTGTCCTACAACTAAGTACGCAAAAACGGGTTATTACATTGTTTCTAATGTCGTAATTTCCAGGAAAGGGATTGACGTTTTCCTGATGAATATTTAATTGGGGCGGCCTGAATGTGGCCATGAAAATGGGCTTTTTTCCAATTATTCCTGTTTGAATTTCCTGGGATTTCGACGTTGGTGTTCCTGCATGTTTGTACAGGCAATATTTGCCCCATTGTGAAAGTTTTCGGCCTATTTAAATAGCCCTGATGGCTTAGGAAAACATTTGCTTGGCTATTGATTAGGCTTAAACAGTAGCCTGGCATCAGGAAATGCGAATTTTTGAATCGGGGTTTTAGTCGTTCATAAACGAAGGTTTGGAGGATTCGTGAGGTGAATTTGCTTCAATTTGAGTTGAAGGTTTTTTAACTGTAGGGGGTAGAACTTTGGACTTGTTGGGGATGGACGTTTCAGCAACTTGGTCTTCTGAGGCGCGTTTCTGAGCAACGAGTTTGTTTATTGGAATGACGCTGTCAGGCAGCTACAAGAGATGCTTCAGTGTACTTGTGGTGATAATTGATTTATTTAGAGCAAACGGTTTTTTTTTTAGTTAATTTTTCAGTTTTAGATAGGTTTTTTATTTTTGCGCCCTGGTCTCCTAAGAGTTGTATTTGAACAAACGTTTGCGGCCTCCGAATTTCAACATGAGGAATCGATGCAGGAGTCCTTTGGTTACTTGAAGAGTGAATTTTGCTAAATTCGACAGACTAGTTTGTTCATAAACAATTTTAGAAGTTTGCAAAAGGTTTTTGCAGTTGTTGCACCCTGCAATTCTAAGGCTCGCTTTTGAGTAACTGTTTGAGGCATCGCATTAAGGATAGCAGTAATCGATAGAAGGAGTCTTGGTTTATTCACCTGATGGATTTGGTTTCATTTGAGTCACTCAGTCCGTCGCATTGAATTTTTGAAATTTTCAACTTTTTTTCGGTTTTTGGCTTTTGCCACCTGCATTTCTAGGGCTTTTATTTGACTAATAATTTTAGGCATTATAATGCGAAAATCAATAATTCAAAATGGAGTTTGCGTGTTTCCTGCAATGCGAGTTTCGCATATTTCGAGTGGCTATTTTCTCAGTAAATAATTTTCGAAACTTGACAATGTTTTGCCCGGTTTTTTGCTGTTGCGCCCTGGAATTTCAAGACTCGTTTTTGAGTAACTATTTGAGGCATCGCAATGCGGACAACACCAGTTTTCTATAGAGACGTCTTTGACTTACTTGAGGTGCAAATTTCGGTCAATTAGAGTACCTGATCCTTTCATAAACAATTTTGGAAATTTAAAATGTTTTGCGCGGTTTTTGGTTTTCGCGTCTGCTCCTCTAAGTTTCGGATTTGAGTAAAAAATTGAGGCACTTGAGTGTGATAACCAGTGGCTGATAGAGGAATTTGCGTGTTTATTGGAGTGTCAGTTACGTACATTTTGAGGTGATTTTTTCTTTGGAAATAATTTTCAAAGTTTGAAAATATTTTGCGCCGTTTTTCGCTTTTGCGCCCTACTCTTTCCAGGCATGTTTTTGAGTGACCATTTGAGACATCGCAATGCGGACACCAGTTTTCTATAGAGACGTCTTTGGCTTATTTGACGTCCAAATTTCGTTCAATTCGAGTAACTGGTCCTTTTATAAACAATTTTGGAAATTTGAAAGGTTTTGCGCGGTTTTTGGTTTTCGCGTCTGCTCTTCTAAGGTTCGGATTTGAATTAAAAATTGAGGCATTTGAGTGTAATATTCAGTGACTGATAGAGGAATGTGCGTGTTTCTTAGTGTGTAAGATTCGGACATTTTTAGTGGATGTTTCCTTTGAAAATAATTTTGAAAGTTTGGAAATATATTGCGCCGTTTTTCGCTTCTGCGCCCTGCAATTTCAAGCCTCGTTTTTGAGTAACCATTTGAGGCATTGAAATACGGACACCGGTAATCAATAGAGAGCTTATTTGATCTGAAAATGTCGTGTAAATCGAGTAACTGATGTTTCAATAAATAATTTTCGAAAGTTACAAATGGTTTGCGCGGTTGTCGGTTTTTGCGTCCTGCATTTCTAATGCTTATATTTCGGTCAACATTTTAGGAATCAAAATCTGAATATTAACAGCCGACAGAGGAGCTCCTGATCTCCCTCGTGTGTGATTTTCGTTCGGTTCCAGCTGGTTCCTTTATAGATAATTGTCAAAATTTGGACATGTCTTGCGCGCTTGGTGCGCCGTACGATTATAAGGCTACTTTTTGAGTAAGCGTTTGAGGCATTGAAATAGAGACATCGCCAATCTATAGAAGAGGCCTCAGCTTATTCGAAGTGTGGATTTTGTTAAATCCGAGTGACTGGTGCTTTTGTCAATAATTTTCAAAATTTCGAAATGTTTTGCCCGGTTTTTTGTTTTTGCGCTCTGCTCTTCTCGGGTTCGTATTTGAGGGATTCGACTGTGAAAATCAGAACTCTATAGTGGATTCTCCATGTTACGTGGAAGGTAAATTTTGTTCAATTTCAGAAGCAGCTGTCTTTTTAACTGATCTTTGGAATTTGGAAATAGTTTGCGCGGTTTTTGTTTCTGCTTGATGCTCTTCTGAAGCTTGCTTCTGAGCAACCAGTTGAATCCGTGCAATAAGTACAACAAAATTCGATCGCGAACAGTCCAGTTTAGGCGTGGTTTAAATTTTGTTACATTCGTGCTTGAAGGTCCTTCTAGATTAAATTTTGAACTCTGCAAGGCTTTGTGTGCTTTTTCATTTTGTACATCATGCTCGTCTGAGGCGTATTTCTCAAAAACCGCTCGAGATATCTGACTGGATGTTGCAGCACTCTACAGTAGAAGCCCGAGGTTTTACATGCAACAAATTTAACTCCACATCAGCTGGTAGTTTTTTTATAATCAATTTTTCAACTTTTTCGCGGATTTTTTGCTCCAGTCGCCACCAGGCGTGAGTTAAAACCCTATTTTTCCGTGCAATTCCTGTGACTTTTCCCTGCAACTCCCTGCAGCTTAAAATTGATAAACATGCGTCCAAAGGCCCAAGGGATTTAAATGGAAGAGGGCCCTCAGGACCATATTTCTCATGGACTCTAAATCCGGCCGAGTCCTCTTGCGCCTTGAGAAGTTTAATGCCTGAGAAAGTGAATTAATTTTTAAACGGGTTGTGTCATGTGCAGCCTCCCTGCGGACCCACTAAACAGCTACAATTCCGTATTTTCCTGCAGAAAATCCACTGACTGTTTTATATATTGAAAGTGTGTTATTTCACCTGTGCATTAAGAGCTTTAAGAAGCGATTAATAACAGAGAAACTCGCCTGGAGGCAGGTGTTCCTAGTGAATTACGGCAATAATTTCATTGAGAAAATTGAGAGCAGAAATGGATGTTTCACTGTTGCCAAACTAGTCTACTTTTAATGTTAGGAAAAAGAGAAAAAATAATATTTTACCGGCCATTCGTCCGGCTTAATGGGATTTTTATGTTGCACCACCATCCGTCGGCTAATCCCCCACATTTTAATTACCCCATAAAGGGGTATTTATGGGGGCGCGTTTCCTGCAGCGATCGTAAATTTGACGATACTCCAGCAAGGATCTGAAGCTAATTTGTCTGTTAAAATGCGGAAAATTGCAGAAACATGGAGGACGATTAAAGTGCGCTGCCTGCAACATTGTCTGCCATGACGACTGTATCGCAATCCTGCTGGACAGGCAACGTTTCACCTGCAAACCCAGCTTCAGGGATGTGGGAGTGAGACAGTACCGCGAGCAGACCACCATTCAACACCATTGGGTGCATCGCAGGTCCGAGAAGGGAAAATGTCAACAGTGTGCTAAAGTAAGTCGTTTTCCTGCAGCGCTTTCGCGTTTTTTGCTTTGGGAAAAGGTGCAGGAAAACCTTTATTAACTCGAGCAACATTTGTCACTGTCATTTTTTTTGTCGGAGCAGGAAAAAAGCACTATTTCTTTGTCAGGCGAGTCCGGTATGTTTTATGGTCGCCATCCGATGAATAAATGTAGCCAATTTCCCAAAGACAAAGCGGAAAAATTCTTCAACAGGAAAAAATTATTATTATTATTTCAATTGAAATGTTGGCCTTTGGGTGCTTAAAAAGGTTTCGCCCAACTTGTTACCCACTGGCGCATACCGTCTAAATTAAGGCGCCCCGAAAAAACGCACGGTTTAAGGAAATATTTTCTTTGAGGCACAACAAGCCCGAAGCGGAGCTAAAATTAGATCAGACTTTCGCCTCGAAATTGTCATTTGTGCTTGGTTTCAGTCATTCCAATCGAAGTTATCGTTTAGTTACAAAGAGGTTGTGGCCATCAGTTGTTCCTGGTGCAAAGTCGCCTACCACAACAAGGAGTCGTGTTTCAATATTCAACGAATAGGCGAAGAATGTAATTTAGGTAAGTTGACGAAAATTCTATGTTTCATTTCCTAACTTGACTAGAAAAATTGAAACAAACCCGACCGCACTCCAAAACAACCCCAAATGAACTTCAACAAACAAACTCGAAGGAACGCGAACAAACACATTGGAGGATGAAAATTTCAACTTGAAAGTGCAAATTTTGAGCTTAAATTGAGCTGAAAGTTAAACGAATTTTCATTTTACAGCGACTCTTATACAGTTTCACAATGAATCTTCAACTTTTCAAGTCTAGTGTTTTTTTAATGAAATTAAGTTCAATAATTCCAAGGGAACTTTTATGAAAAAGTCCAATTTTTACATATTTTTGCATTTACTTCATCAGTTTTTGGGCGTTTCCAAAACCAACTCCAACGAACTATCGAAAACCCCATCAAGCGCAAACGAACACAAACAAACACATTAAATATTTCGATTTCGAAGTTCAGAGTAAAAATTGGTTTTTTTTCCTGAAAGTCGACATTCAATAAAATTCATGATTCTGAAGAAAAGTTGATTGTAAAATGCGCATTTTCAGCTCACTTTCGCTTTTTTCAAAATTTGTGCAAAAGAAGAACAGTTTTTGGTTTCCCGTAAACTAACACAAACAAACCTAAAATAATCCAAACGAATCCAGCCAAACCCAAGCAAACCGAGAAGAATCTCTTGTTTTACAGCAAAGCTTAGACGAATGCATTTTCGACTAAATATCGAAAGTTGTCCAGTAAAAATCGGGCTAAATGTGGAATTACCGAACTCAGAACCCAATTTTGGGAATCCATAACACAACCACACAAAAGTTCGAAGTAAATACAAATAAAATTAAATAAAAGACAAATACGGTCGTTTTTCCATCAGATCTGGAAAGTTTTCAAGCTTGAACGGGCTTTCACGTTCCCGTTCGAACTGCCGAAAACAAATTTCGGTTTACATGGACGAATTTGTATTGGAAACGGGCCTGAATGTGCGGAAAAGTTGCAAAAGTCGTTTGTTTTCAGCTCTTGGCAACATTTTCACATGATAACGAGACAATCGTTCTTCGGTCCGCTCCCTGTTTGCCAATTTCCGTTGTTTTCCATTCAGCGCCTGAAAAACTGCCTTTGACATTAATTTTTCTGATGAAACAATATATTTAGCATCGCAAATATAGAGTTTTCACTTTCACCCGTTATACTCCAAGCGAATCCATGTAAACTGTAATTTTCGTCAATAATCCTCGGTTTCTGGAGGGTTCGTTAGCATATCAATTTGCATGTTGATTCGGGGTGTTTTCCAGGTGATGAAATGGAAATTTTCATCAATGCATTACAACTTCACTTGTTTTTTTTATTCGAATATCGAAACTTCGGAATTTGAGTAGTGAAGTTCTCAAAGAAGTCTTCTGAGCCAGTTAGGGACCGAGTGTTCCCAATAGTTACAAAATCTGAGTCAGTTCGGGACTTTTTGCGGCACTGAACTGAAGGTTTTCTAGTAAAATTTTGAATTGGGTCCTAAGAAACTTTAGAACCTTCCGAGCCAGTTAGGACCTTTCAAAATGTTCATTCGATTGTATGACTGCGATCGTTGAATCCTTACAAACTTAATTTTGCACTTCTACAGTCTATTTCCGACCGTTGAATTGATGATTTTCGAACTTCAAGTGCTTTAGTACTTGAAGTTGATTTTTTCAACTTGCTTGGCACCGATGAGTTTATTTTGCCATGTGGTAGACTTCGCAAGAAACTTTTCTCTGGTTACTTGACCTTAGGAGCGAAAGTTTTCACTGAACTTTTAAGCAACTGCAAAGTTTTCTGAGCCAGTCTGGAGTTTCCACAAGAAAACTAGGGGATTTCTTCTCTGAATTCTCTCTGAAGTTGATGTTTTAAAGTTGTCAAGTATTATGAGTCAATTAAGGAATTTGCAAGGAAAATCGAAGGTTTTCCTGCCTATTATAAGAGTATTGCTTATTTTCGACAGTTCAAAGGTTGCAAACTTGATTTTGAGCTTCGTAGTTGAAAATCCGAAGGGTTTCGAACTTCACGTAATGAAATTTTTTATCACCATCGATTTTACGCCACTAGGGCCTTTGCTACTGTCCATGAGAATTTTTTTAAAACATTTTTCTAAGAAAAATTTTAGTTGCGTTTAAAGAAACTTTCTGAGTCAGTCAAGGACTAGCAATTCGGAGATTTGCAAACTTCAAATGCTGAATTTGCAGTTCTAAAATCCGTTTGCAACTCTTTCGTTGAATCTTACAACTTTGAAGAGTCCACAAGTAACTTTGAGCGTTATTTTGCTGAAAGAAAGTTCCTAATGAAGTACTTAGGAACTTTAAAGTTTTCTGAGCCGCCCTCTAGGACTTGAATCGGTAGTCCAAATACTTCAGACTTGATTTAGAGTTTCTTAAGTCCGGATCCGGATGTGTAATTGTCGATTTGCAAACTTCAAGTGCAAAAGTTGATTTTTCAAAGTTGTCTTTGATCGTCTAAAGTTGTGGTTGCTCCTTTGAAGTAAAGTGCAAGCATTTTTGCATAGCAGGTGAGTTTCTAATTTAAATTTAAAGTAACTGCAAAGCCTTCTGACCCAATTAGGGACTTTCAAAGAGCAATCGAAGGGTTTAAAGATGGCAAACTTGGTTTGAAGTTTTAAGAAAAGTTCGCAGTTGAGTTTTACGCAACTTGAAAGTCTTCTGATCCTGTTAGGGACTTGATGATTTTTTCATTGATTATTCTGCCGATGGATCAGAGCTTACAAACTTGATTCTGAGTCTAAAGTCAAGATGCGAGGATTTCGATGTTGAAGTTGGAGCTTGAAGGTTTTGCAGGGTTGGTCAGTTTTCCCATTTTTTTACCAAACAAACAACAAAATTTGTGTGGTTTATCCAATAAAAAGTGTCCCTTGTAACTGTGTAACTTTAAGCGACCAATTATGGATAATCCATTGAATTTTACTAATTTTCGTGAAACTACACTAGTAAGAAGGTGAGATTTAAACGAACTGGAAATTATTAAACACTTTAAAGCCAGCAGGTCTGGATCGTTTCGTGAATCGAATGCCTGCCTTTTTCAATAACATCCCGACGGCAAACTGGGAAAATCCGTAGGAAAGTTCCGAATAAAACTAGGAAGCCATTGATGCTCCTACTCAAAGCGACTCTGATCTAGTAATTGAACCTCGTTTCCCTTGAAATATTGAAGTTTGTCCCAAATGAAAAATTGATCTGCCGGCAAATGCCGGAAATAGAACGTGTTTTTTTCTTCGATCACTTCTCGCCCCCGTAGCGCTGTTTAACAATGAATTAACCATTTTTTTTGGATTATCCAGGTGTACATAATAATATCATAGTGCCTCCATCGTGGATCGTCAAGCTTCCAAGGAGAGGCAGCTTTAAGTCCAGTCTAAGAAAAGTGCCAAAGAAAAAGGGATCAAACAAAAGAAAAGCTAGTAATAAGGTGAGGAAGAGAAGAAGAAAAGTTATAACCGAATGCGATTGGATTTTGGGGTCGTTTGCAGGACAAAGAATATAAAACTTTTGTGATCAAACCCATTCCATCAACGACGGTAACGCCTGTGATCGTTTTTATCAATCCAAAGTCCGGCGGAAATCAGGGCCTAAAGCTGATGCAGAAGTTCCAGTGGCTGCTCAATCCCAGGCAGGTGCGTTCTGATCCTGTTCAGCGTCCTGCAGTGTCCAGACAAACGCTCAATTCCAGGTCTTCGACTTGACGCAAGGCGGCCCAAAGTTCGGCCTGGAACTGTTCCGCAAAGTACCAAACCTCCGGGTCCTGGCCTGTGGAGGCGACGGAACCGTGGGATGGGTGCTAAGTGTAATCGACCAAATCAAAATGAAACCTGCGCCTCCGGTTGGGGTTCTTCCCCTTGGAACTGGAAACGATTTGGCCAGAGCTCTTGGATGGGGCGGAGTAAGTTGCTCCATTCCCAAACCGTCCAGAAAATTGTTTTTTTTAGTGATGAGCGTAGCAAGTTCAAGAACTGCACTTGCATGGTTTTGGTCTAGCTTTTGCCGTCTGGTTTATCGCTAATTTTCCCGGTTTCTTCAGGGGTACACTGATGAACCAATATCGAAAATCCTGACCAACATCAATCACAGTGACACCGTGCTTCTGGATCGATGGTGTCTGGATGTGGAGACCAATCAGAGTGCCGACCAGTCTAACGATGGCAAAGAAACTCTACCACTCAGCGTCGTTAATAACTATTACTCTTTAGGGGTGGATGCTCACATTGCGCTGGAATTCCACGAAGCTCGCGGTAAGTTGCTGGATAAATTGCCAACTTAAAGAGTTGAATTTCGCTGAATTTTGCCGTCACCGGCTGGCTTGACGTCAAAGTAATGAGTTATTGATCAATTTTCGGGAGGCTTAACGAAAAATCGGAACGTGTCCGCCCACTGGCCGAAATTTTTCGGATAGTCATGGCCTCGATGCTTGTTCAGTTTGTTCTGGAATCATCGAGGATTCAAACGCATTTTTTTTTTCATTTTTCTGAAAATTTTAGTTAGAAATGTGGCCCATTATGCTAAACATCCAACCGGAAATTATGATTGGCAATGAAAAATTCAGCACTTTCCCCCATTTTTAATTTTCTAAGAGGTTGCAGTCGCTGTATTTATTTTAAGCAGCTCCGCAGCCCCCCAGAGCGTCTTTGAATAATGCGGGTGTTTTTCCAGTCGGCATCCTATCGACCCGCCTTCAAAAGTAGTCGCCAATTCGGACTCGTTGTTGCTTCTGAGTCTTCCGAGGAAGTTCCTTTGCAGGCACAGTTGAACCAACTTTCAGAAGGAAAGCTGCCAAAATTACTACGTAGGAGATTTTTCCTCACTTTTCTCAGTTATTAAGGCGGGTTTTTTTCTATCCACTCGCTTATCGATCGCACCACAAAACATGACCTTTTATAGTCTCTAGTAAATAGTAAATCGTCTTGATTCCCTGGATAAAGTCGGATCCAACTTCACTTGGATTTGCTTAATTCGAATATCAAACTTCAGCATTTAAATAGTGAAGTTCTCAATGAAGTCTTCTGATCCAGTTAGGGACCCAGTGTTCCAAATAATTGCAAAATCTTCAGAGTCAGTTCGGGACTTTCTCTAGCAAAATTTTCAATTGGGTCTATAGAAACTTTAGAACCTGAGCCAGTTAGGGCCTTTCAAAAGTTCATTCGATTGTTTGACTGCGATCGTTGAAAGCATGCAAGCTTAACTTTGTGCTTTTACAGTCAATTTGCGACCGTTGAAATGATGATTTTCAGACCTCAAGTACTTGAAGTAACTAAAGTAAGTTGACTAAAGTTGACGAAACTTGACTAAAGTAGGTACTTGAAGTTGGTGTTTTCAAGTTGGTTGGCACCGATGAATTGATTTTTTCATGTGGACTTCGCAAGAAACTTGTTTTTCGTTACTTGACGTTAGGAGCAAAACTTCTTACTGAACTTTTAGGCAACTTTAAAGTGTTCTGAGGTTTCCACAACAATATCGGAAGATTTCTGCCCTCACTGTCATCAGTGGTCCAAAGAATTCAGACTTAATTTTGTGGATTCGCGAATATCAAGCAAGTACTAACGTTGGTGTTTTAAAGTTGTCAAGTATTCTGAGTCAATTAGGGAATTTGAAAGGAAAATCGAAGGTTAAGATTATATGACTGTTGCTTATTTTCGACAGTTCAAAGGTTGCAAACTTGATTTTAAGCTTCTGAGTTGAAGATCCGAAGGTTTCGAACTTCACGTAAGGTAATTTTGTGTCAGTCGGCATCCTATCGACCCGCCTTCAAAAGTAGTATTTGTGGCCAATTCGGACTCGTTGTGCTTCTGAGTCTTCCGAGGAATTTTAACGCCTTTGCAGGCACAGTTGAAGCAACTTTCAGAGGGAAAGCTGCCAAAATTGTGCCTCACTTCACTTTCAATTTTAATATCTGCTCCTTCAAGATCCAGCTGGATAACGAACGTCTGAACAAAATCAGTTCAAGATACATCTAAGGCCTTCTGAACCAGCTGAAGCCTTTGAGGGGCAATAGATATGGATGGCCCAAATCTTGCTCCAAAGAGATCCAGATCGACTTGCGTCTCCTACTGGAAAAGTAGGCAGATTCTTCCTCATTTTTCTCAGTCAATTTTTTTCTGAAAGCCTCAGCCCTCGAAACACTTCTTGAATATTAAGGCGGGTTTTTTCGTCCATTCGCTTATCGATCGCACAACAAAAGATGGCCCTTTATAGTCTCTAGTAAATAATAAATCGTCCTGATTCCCTGGATAAAGTCGGTTTAAGCGCGGAACGTGCCCCTGGATAATGATAGCGAAAATGCCCGCCCCACAAACAATAAACTGTTCTTGTTGTTTCCAGAGGCTCATCCTGAAAAATTCAACTCCCGGCTGCGCAACAAGATGTTTTACGGCCAGATGGGCGGCAAGGACTTGTTGAGGAGGAAATGGAAAGGTCTGGCCGATTATGTGACTTTGGAGTGCGACGGCAACGACATCACACCCAAGCTGAAGGAATTGAGGGTTCACGCCATTGTTTTCCTCAATATTGGAAGGTAAGACTCTGCAGGCGTTCGCCTTCAGAGTATAGCGATCGTCTGATCTAGTTATGGAGGAGGCACGAAGCCCTGGAGCAAAACCATGGGCTCGTCTGATCCCAGTACTGAGGACGGGCTGATTGAGGTGCTGGGACTTACCACATATCAGCTGGTAAGTAGGAGTAAGCTGGAGACTAGTTGTTGTTTTATTGCGTTCTGCCATAAATACATATCTTGATTTGATCGAGAATTCGGTTGAACAGTCGCGTGTAGGTGGGCCGGTCTATGTTGATCACCGCCAGATTCTGAGGCAGCACTTCAAAGACGTAATCCGTCGCATTGCTGATTGCTGTCGCAATGGTTTGGAGGCCTCTGACGTAAAACTCCCTCAAAGTCACTTGCAGCTGTTGAGCGCACGTGTTGTTTGAACAGGCCCGAACTTCCACTTCCAGCTCCAGCAACTCGCTGATGACGCTGTTGGACAGCGAACTGCTGGCGAGGATGATTTCAGTTCCATCCTCCCTGCAGGCCTCCAGTTGACTGATCGGGGCCCTTATTATGGTGCCGTTGAGCATGTAGAATTGGCTGTGGCCCTCATCCAAACACTTTGTAATGTTCCTATCTGGATCAGAAGGAATTAGTCCGGATCGCGGGCAGCTGAGTGAAAACTCACCGATAATTTCAGCTTGTTCTTCGAAGGAAGCAATCCTTTCCCAGTAGGGCTCAGCAGCCTGGGACAGATTTCCATACACATAGCCGCTCACTTGATTGATGTAGAAATTGAGCGGAACTGAGCGGGCTCTGATCTCAATCTGGGCCTCGCGATGCTCAGATTTAATGACAGTGTCCACTGTATTGTACAGCGTGAGCAAGGCTTCTAGATCAGATTTCAAGCCCTGAAACATTGAAGGCGTTTTCAAGAGGTTCAGGAAAAATTGCTTATCCAGCGACTTACCAATGCCAAAGTTGCACTTGCTGCCAGGAAAAACGCGATTTTGAGCAGCATGATGAGTTTCAGTTTTCGCTCAGCCACTGGAAATCGGCACGTGGTTTTCGTCACTTTTATATCGACAATTATCTGGAATTATTCAAGTGTTTATACGTGCGAACGGTTTGTTATTCACAAACAGCCGAACAGCGGCAAATTGGCTGCGAAGTGTTTCGAGTGGGCTAATTTCGATTTTAAAAATGCTTTTTTGCTGATAATTTTTAAGTTATTTAAAAAGTTTAAAGTAACTTCACGGCCTTCTGAGCGACTTTGAGATTTTCAGACACATAGTTTCAGACTTCTAGAAGTTTTGTAAGGTTTAAGATTTGACTTTCGTGTACATTTGACTGTTGAGCTTTTGCCTCGTCTCAAAGTAACTTGAAAGTCTTCTGAGCAACTTTGGGGCTTTCTAAGATAAACTTCATAATTTTTCCACTCACTGTTTATCGATTGCAAGCATCTTCTGCGCTAGAAAGCTTGAAAACATCATTTAATTTTCTGATCACAATACCCAAACATTTGAATGACAATTTTTTGACTTCCAGTACTAAACTTTTTAAAGTCGAGTTCCATTCTGAGATCTTCATAAGTAAGTTTGACCATATTATCTTCGCTTGAAGTTGCATGGTTCTCAGCTCAGAGAATTTTTGATGCAGTTTAGAAATTGTCCAAGCAAAGTTCGGGATTTTCTCACTCACTATTTATCGATTGCAACGCTTCCAAACTAGATTTTGCCTTTCTGAGCGCATCATACAAACGCTTAAATTATTTTTGAACTTCAAGTATTGAAGCTGAGGTTTTCAACGGTTTACAACGTTTAAAGCGGAATTCGCAGTTTGAAAGTTTAGTTGAAATCCTTATAAGGAACTTCGAGCATTTTTCTTGTTGCTTTGATCGAGCTCAAAGTAACTCCAAAGACTTCTGATGCAGGCACTGTTGACCTTCTGAGGCATTCCACTCGTCAAAGCTGGCAAAACTTGGTTTTATCTTTTTGAGCTCAATACATGAAGTTTTAGATGACTTAGAGTTGAGATTTTTAAAATCGGTTTGCTCTGTATAAAATAGAGTTTATACTTTGAAAGATGCTTTAATGCTGAAGCGTTCGTAAATGTCGTAGGAGTATTTTTAAAGTCGCTTAAAGTTGGGAGTTTTTCCTAAGCGATTTCCAATCCAACTTAAGGGAACTTTAAAACCTTCTGAACCAGTTCGCGAGTTCGAAGTTCGGTGAATTTAAAGCTTTTCTCACTCATTATTTAAACTGTTTAAAGCTTTCAAACTTGATTCTGAGCATCTGAATTCAAGCAGCAAACTTCATTTGACTGATTTTTAAGCTTCAAAGTTCGACCTTCTATAGTTGAAATTTCGATGCGTAAATTTTTGATCTGAACATTTTTGCCTTCACTTGAACTTAAGAAATCGAAGATTTAGCTTTCGAACTTCAAGTACTCAAGTCAATGTTCTGAGTGTTTTCGCCAACTTTCAAACATCAGCATTTCATGCGCACAAAACTCAGATTCAAGAGCAGCATTTTAAACAATTACATATTTATTTATCATAGAATATTACAAATCACCGCGGCTTCTAAAATTGCGGTGAATTTCTCCTTGTAGTCATCGGCATCGATGTTCACAGGAGCGAGTTTCTCGGGCAATTCGTTCAAGTATGTGTTTGCATTGTCAACTGCTTCATACAGCATTTCTTTGGCCCTGCCATGGAACTCAATCAGAGCGTTATAAAGCTCTTCGGCACATGCTGGCTCAGAACAAGCTTTTACTTGGACTTCCAGCTCCAGAAGCTCTTCGACAGCCTGTCCACCCAACATGGAACTTTGGTAGAGCGTCTCGTTTCCCTCTCTTCTGTAAGCAGCGATTTTCTCCAATGGAACGTTCACTGTTGTTTCGTTTAATGCGTACAATTCTTCGTTGCCTGCGTTGACGCAAACGGAAATATCTTCACCTGTAACGAAAAGAACACTTAAAAAAATTGCGAATTCAAGGGAGTTTTTAAGGCTTTTACCTGCAGCTTCAGCTTCTGCTTCCATAGAAGCAATTGCTGTCCAGTAGGGCTCGGCTGCCACAGTCAAGTTTCCCATCACGTATTTAGCAGCGTCGTCCAGAAGAGTGTCCATGGGAATGATCACATCGCGAAGCTCAATCTGGACTTCATGCTGAGTGTTTTTGATCTCACTGTCGATGCGCTCGTACAAAGTTAGCAGATCCTCGACGTCCACTTTAAGCTCCTGAGGACGTGAATTGAAATACTCTCGGTTTGGGAAACATTCGAAAATTCTACTTACAGAACTCAACACTGCACTGGCGGCGATCAAAAGCACAAACTTTCCCAGCATGTTGTCAAGGTTTCAAACGACTGCGTCCTAATGAACTGTAGGCTGTTTTTCTAAACTTTTATATCAACATCTTTATCTTGCTAGGAGTAAGTGGCTGAGTCAAGTGAGGTTTAATAAGGAATTAATTTTTTAAGTGGATTTTTTTGAATACCTATGGACGCTTAAATGACGTATTCTGAGCTCCAAGTACTTAAGTTGAGGTTTTAAAGTTGTGTTGCACTAATTCAAGTCGAGTTGCTCTTTGAAACTTTAGCTGAAGCCTTTATGAAAAGCCTTGAGGATTTTCTCGTCGCTTGATGTTACAGAGATTTTCCTTCCAGCTCAAAGTTACTTCGAAATTTACTGAGGCAATTTGGGACTTCTAGGATATTGGCAATCGCGGAAGAGCTTGATTTTGACTTTCTGAGCTCAATATTCGAACGTTTAGTTGACGGTTTCTGAGCTTTATTCAATAAAATTTAGGTTTCGAACTTGTTTTCCAACGATTAAAGTCGAGTTTACACTTTTAAAGTCGTCCTGAGGCTTGAGTTGAAGTAGGTTTTACCATTTTCCTTGTTATTAGATGCAGCTTTTCGCTCAAACTTAATAGAAGTCTTCTGAGCCAACTTAGGACTTCTGAGGAAAAATTCAAAATTTTTGCAATCATTATTTATCGATTGCAAATGTCTTCTCTGTGGCGAAGTTTGCAATCTAATTTAATACCAACTGGGGATTTTTGAGCTTTAAGCACTGAAGTTGATGTTTGAAAGTTCTTTTTGAACGCATCAAGTCGAGCTTGGACTTTGGAAGTTATCCTGCAGCCTTTATGAAAATTTTCAGCATTCCTCACGTCGCTTGAACCTTTGAGCTTTTGCCAGGATATTTTCAATTAAATTTTAAAAACTTTCAAGTCTTCTGAGCCAATTGGGGGTTTCAGAGGCAAATTTGAAGATTTTTGCACTGATTATTTAACGACGTTCAGTGCCTTCGACTGTTGAAAGCTTCCAAACTTGACTTTGGACATCAACGCCGGAACCAAAAAGTTAACTGTGGTTTTCCCAACTTCACCTACTGAAGGTGTCTACTGAAGGAATCGACTTTAAGACAACTGCAATGGTCTCGCAGAAGACCTTCTGAGACAGCTTTGAACTTTCACTAGTTAAAAACTGCAAAGGTCTTCGACTGCTCAACAACTTGTGCAGTTGATTCTGATCTGAACGCAACAGCCGAACATTTAGTGGTCTGTTTTCCAACCTCAAGTACTAAAGTTGCGGTTCTGAGAACGTTTGCCGCGTTCATGCTGAGGTTAGCACTGTGTTGGGGCTTTCACAAGTTACTTCAAACAGGAGCTCTGGCAGGAAATTTTTGAACAGTGTTTAAAGCAACCTGAGAGCCTTCTGAGCCAACCTTTCATGGGCCAAGTTGAAAGTGCAATGGCAAACAGCAGAGCCACTGAAGATTTTGAGGTCTTTGATTAAGAACCAAATGTGAACAATTCACAGGAGATTTAATCCGCAAAAAAATTGGAGGTAGTTTTCGTCTTGAAACAGCAGCAAAAGTCAGCTTCCAGCGCAACATTTTGATCAATTACACATTTATTGCTCACAGAATAGTACAAATCACCACAGCATCGATAATAGCGGTGAATTTCTCCTTGTAATCATCGGCATCGATGTTCACAAGAGCGAGTTTCTCAGGCAGTTCGTTCAAGTAAGTGGTTGGATTGTCAACTGAGGCTTCCAGAGTTTCGGAAGCCCTGCCATGGAACTCAATCAGAGCGTTGTACAGCTCTTCCGCACATTCCGGATCAGAACAAGCTTTGACTTGGACTTCCAGCTCCAGAAGCTCTTCGATTGCACTGTAGGCCAAGTTGGCACTTGCATAGATCATGTCGTTTCCCTCTGTTCTGTAGGCTGCGATTTTCTCCAATGGAGCGTTTACTATTGTTTCGTTTAGTGTGTACAGTTCTTCGTTTCCTCCGTTGACGCAAGCGGAAATATCTTCACCTGTAACGAAAAAAACACTCAATATTTCAAGGGAGTTTTTGCGGCATTTACCTTTTGCTTCAGCGTCTGCTTCCATGGACGCAATTGTTGTCCAGTAGGGCTCGGCTGCCACAGTCAAGTTTCCCATCACGTATTTAACAGCATCGTCAAGAAAAGACTCCATAGGAATAGTCAGAGCGCGAATCTCAATCGCGGCTTCATGCTGAGTGAGTTTGACCGAACTGTCAATGCGCTCATACAAAGCTAGCAAATCATCAACGTCTACTTTCAGCCCCTGAAGAAGTGTATTAAAATACTCTCTGGCTGACAAATTTTCGAAAATTCTACTTACAGAACTCAACACTCCACTGGCGGCGATCAAAAACACAATTTTTCCCAGCATGTTGTCAAGGTTTCGAACGACTGCGTCTAAATGAGCTGGAGCCTGTTTTTCTAAACTTTTATATCAACAGCTTTATCTGGCTGGGTTTAAGTGGCTGTCAAGTGGGGTTTAAGGGGGAATTTATTTTTTAAGTAAATTTTTTCGAATATAGACGCACGTTTTCTGCGCTCCGAACACTGAAGTTGAGGTTTCAAAGTTGTGTTGCACTAGTTAAAGTTGAGTTGCTCTTTGAAGCTTTAGCTGAAGTCTTTCCAAAAAGCCTTGAGAATTTTCTTGTTGCTTGATGTTACGTAGATTTTCCTTCCAGCTCAAAGGGCACTTCGAAACTTTCTGAGGCTATTTAGGACTTTCTGAGGCAAAGTTAAAGATTTTTTCACTCCTTATTTCCGCGATTGCCAATGTTTTCCAACAATTAAAGTCGTGTTTACACATTCTAAGTCATCTTGAGGCTTGAGTTGAAATGAATTTCTCCATTTTACTTGTCGCTGGATGCAGTTTTTCGCTGGAACTCGATAGAACATTGAAGTCTTCTGTGCCAACTTAGGACTTTTGAGGGAAAGGTTAAAATGTTTGCCCTCATTATTTATCGATTGCAAATGGCATCTCTGCGGCAAAGTTTCCAACCTTTATTTTAATATCAACTAGGGATTTCTGAGCTTTAAACACTGAAGTTGATGTTTGAAAGGTCTTTTGCAACGCATTAAGTCGAGCTTGAACTTCGGAAGTTATTCCGTATCCTTTATGAAGACTTTCAACATTCCTCACGTCGCTTAAAGCTTCGAGTGTTTGCCAGGATATTTTCTATGAAGTTTTAAAAAACTTTCAAGCCTTCTGAGCCAGTTGGGAATTTTTGCAGCCAAATTTGAAGATTTTTGAACTGACTATTTAACGACTTTCAAAGTCTTCGACCGTTGAAAGCTTCCAAACTTGACTTTGGGCATCTAAACGCCGGAACCGAACATTTAACTGTGGTTTTCCCAACTTTACCAACTGAAGTTGCAAAAATGTCTTAATCGAGTTTCAGACAGAAGCAATTTTGCCTCAGAAGACCTTCTGAGACAGCCTCGAACTTTCACTAGTTAACAACTGCACAAGTCTTCGACTGTTCAACACTTGTGCAGTTGAGTCTGATCATCTGAACGCAACAGCCGAACATCTAGTGGTCTGTTTTCCAACCTCAAGTGCTAAAGTTGCAGTTCTGAGTATCTTTGAGGAGATCTGGCAGGAAATTTTTGGACAGGGCTTAAAGCAACTTGAGAGCCTTCTGAGCCAACCTTTCATGGGCAAAGTAGAAGATGCCATGGTAAACTTCACAGCTGAGCCGCTGACGATTTTGAGGCCTTGGATTGAGAGCCAAATGTGAACAATTCACAGGAGATTTAATCCGCAAAAAAAATGGAGGTAGTTTTCGTCTTGAAACAGCAGCAAAAGTCAGCTTCCAGCGCAACATTTTGATCAATTACACATTTATTGCTCACAGAATAGTACATATCACCACAGCGTCGATAATAGCGGTGAATTGCTCCTTGTAATCATCGGCATCGATGTTCACAGGAGCGAGTTTCTCGGGCAGTTCGTTCAAGTAAGTGGTTGGATTGTCAACTGAGGCTTGCAGAGTTTCAGAAGCCCTGCCATGGAACTCAATCAGAGCGTTGTAAAGCTCTTCCGCACATTCGGGATCAGAACAAGCTTTGACTTGGACTTCCAGCTCCAGAAGCTCTTCGATTGCACTGTAGGCCAAGTTGGCACTTGCATAGATCGTGTCGTTTCCCTCTGTTCTGTAGGCTGCGATTTTCTCCAATGGAGCGTTTACTATTGTTTCGTTTAATGTGTACAGTTCTTCGTTTCCTCCGTTGACGCAAGCGGAAATATCTTCACCTGTAACGAAAAAACACTCAACAGTTTCTGTTTCGACACAGTTTTTGCAGCCTTTACCCTTAGCTTCAGCTTCTGCTTCCATAGAAGCAATTGTTGTCCAGTAGGGCTCGGCTGCCACTGTCAAGTTTCCCATCACGTATTTAACAGCGTCAGCAAGAAGAGATTCCATAGGAATAGTCATAGCGCGAATCTCAATCTCGGCTTCATGCTGAGTGAGTTGGATCGAACTGTCGATGCGCTCATACAAAGCTAGCAAATCATCAACGTCTACTTTCAGCCCCTGAAGAAGTGAATTAAAATACTCTCTGGCTGACAAATTTTCGAAAATTCTACTTACAGAACTCAACACTCCACTGGCGGCGATCAAAAGCACAAACTTTCCCAGCATGTTGTTAAGGTTTCAAACGACTGCGTCTAAATGAACTGGAGGCTGTTTTTCTACACTTTTATATCAACAGCTTTATCTGGCTGGGTTTAAGTGGCTGTCAAGTGGGGTTTTGATGGAGAATTTACAATTTTTTTAATGGGGGTTTTTTGGTTGTTTGCAGCCCCTTTTGCAAGCTGGAGGCCACGGCACCAGCATCACCCAGTGCCGATCGGCCAAAATCGTCACAACCAAAACCATTCCCATGCAGGTAAATTTCCTGTGAATTGAATGAATTTTTCTAGTGAATTATCTCCGTATGATTGGAATGGGTTTGCAGGTGGATGGCGAAGCTTGCAAGCTAAAACCGTCCATAATCAGCATCAGCCACCTGAACAAAGCCACCATGCTGGCGAAGCGGAAATCTGGAAAAGTGATTCCTCCTCAAGCAGCCCTCCAGAACATGAAATACACCGTTTACAAGATTTCCATGCCGGATTACGAGCAACATCACTACGACAAGGACAAACTGGCTGAAGCAGGTAGGAAAGTCTGGATTTTTCCAGGAATTCGGAAGAATCAGGTGGGCAATTGTTGATGCTAGTTGCGCACCGAGTGGCCGCCTATCTAATCTGAAGGTTTGCTAATTGGAATTCAAGGCCGGCATTCTCGAACATTCTAAAACACGAATAGATAGATTTTTGGGTGACGTCAATTTTTTCGATATCTGCAAGGGAATGGACAAGGATGTAGGAAGTGAATGTTGGAAATTTCCACTTGGAAGGTTGAGTGTTAGAGTGATAGAGCCTGAAGACGCAGTTGGCACTGGAGAATGGGAAGCGGTTGAGTTTGGAATTTTTGAACTGCGACTGAAAATAATCAGGCGTTTGTCAAAAATAGTCTTACATAAGCAGAAGAATCGGGTCACTTTGTTGGAATATCTGATGGATTTTACCTAATTTTGAAATTACGTTATTTTTGGGGTTTTGGTTGCAAGCCCCCGAAGCTGAGTTCAAAGTTCCATAAAATTTCATACATTTTTCCAATTATTCAGGCACAATTTTAACAACCACAATTTTTGCGAATCAATTGGTGTTTTAAGAGCTTTTGAAAAAACATTTGATTCGAACGAGCTCAAAACCCCCTTTTAGAAGTGTTGCGCCTGAAGGACTCGGCACAACTTGAACAAAACCGAAAACATCTTAATAGAAAAATTAAGATTTTGAGCGATAATCGCAAAACACGCCAAAGATTTCCAGATTTGCACGTAAAATTCCTGTTGAAGTACAAAATCAATGTTGCCTTGACTGGAAAAGGCGAATTTTCCATCACTAGCCAAATAACTCCTGATCTACCCAGATAATGCGAAACTTGTACACGTCGAAACAAGCACAACTTTAAAGTTTCGATCGTCCACTTCGGAACTCTGTAAGCAGCAAAATGTCAAAACTTTTACTAGGGCAATGCGTCCCCTGACTTTTCCAGGCAGTTTAATGCCCAACTCTGAAAAGCGATTATCCAGGAAAATGCTGCCAGCGATTGTACTTCAACAGTTTTATAAGCCCCAAAAATTCCTCCTTACTCCTTGCGTCGCAAAAACTATTTTTTGCTGCAGTTTTGCATAATTAATGTTCCTCATTTAGCTGTCAGCATCGGGCCATTGGAGATGATCATTACAGCCGATCTGGAACAAGCGCGAACGCTCATCAACCGACTGCTGACCGAGAAAAAGGAACCGTCTAGCACTGAATGGTGTTTCGTTGACTGTAAGTAACCCGGACGTTTTTCAAACAAAGCTTTCAAGAATTTTATCTAAATATGCGGATTTCCACTTGAGATCCACTTCAGGTCTCAAGTAGTTTCAAAAAATGTTATTGTTTCTCGATCTGGAACTTCCAGACTCGCTACTAATTGGCATAATGGCTTTTAATAGTTTTCGGTTGGAATGCGGAGACGCATCGACTCATACATCGGCTATAGGCGCTAATTAAATTAACTTTCTATTTAAAATTCGCTTTGCGTTCAGCCGGAAGGCGTTCGATCTAATTAATTGCCGTACTATTTGTTTCCAGTCATCAGCCTATCAGTTAATGGGATCGGTAACAGTTGGGCCAAGGAAGAACTCGAGGCCGCGTTTCCGCATGGGATTTATTAGGGTCGTTATGCTAATTAGAGCGAAACTTCCTAATGTCTTTTAATGCCAGAATCTACTTAGAAACAACTTGCCTGGGTCGGTTATCCTGATGGCTTTCGATGGGTTTCAGCATGTACAGCTGAGCGTTTCTTCCGCATAGATCGCGCCCAGGAAAATCTTCACTATGTAATGGATATTGCGTCGGAAAATCTCTATATTCTGGAATGTGGTGGCGGTACCGTGCCACAAACACCTGAAGATGAAACGGCCCATCCATCGCCCAGCTCCAATCATAAAACGTCGCTGGTCATTCCAGAAATGCGAATCAGGTAAATGGGTTTTCCAAGTGTTCACGTCTAAAGAAATGCCCTGTCTTGTAAATTTGGGCAAATTTATGAATTTTTTTCAACACTTTAGGCGGAAAGTGAATTCCTGATTTTTTATGTGTATTGACTTCGTCTTTCCGGTGGCTTGCTCAGAAGTTGCTAAGCGTTTTTAGTTTCGGATAAATTTATAATTTTTTGAAATCGCGCTTTTGGCGTTTGATCTAGAAAATTTATATGACGAGTTTGCGAAAGTTACCTCGAGTAGCTTTGTACAGGCTCAATGTTTTATTAAAAATAACTTTTTTGATAGGCAGCTCAGTTTTTGCGGAAAAAAATATGATGTAAAAATTGGCCGGAGTTCTACAGTCTCCGGGCCGAAAAACCAAAGTTTTTGGTTTTGAAAAATCTTTTGCAGGGAATTCTATGCGATCAAAACACAAAACAGATGCCGAAGTGCTTGGTTTTGTTGAGAAAATAATCCTCGGTTGATCTAAAAAGTAAAAATGGAAACTTTGTACTTTGATCGACTTGCTTTATGAGTATTGGGACTTAAAATTGCCATAAAACCGCTGTGGTTTCCCGGATTTGACACTAGTTTTTTCCCATGAAAATTCCCAAATTGGGTTTTTTCCCAAAAAAAATGTAATGTAATTGTAAAGTAAATGTGAGCAACACTGAAGGCTGATGATGGTCAATTTTCGAAATTTCTCATCACTTTTTCAGAAAATTTGGATGGTTTTCAACCCATTAAAGGCCATTAAGTGAAATTTTGAGTTCATTTCGCAGTCAAAAATTTTATAAATTTTGCTTATGGTTGATTTGAACTGAAAAGTGAATATCAAATTTTTATGCCCATTTAGACTCGCTTTCCGGTGGTGTGCTCAAGAATTTCTTCGGTTTTTTAGTTTTGAAGGTATTTCATATTTCTGGAAATCACGTATTAATCCAATTTTGAAATTTTGCAAAAATATTGATATGTTAAGATTGAAAATATTGCCGTCGGGTAGCTTCTGATAGGCCCGCTATTTTATGTAGAATAACTTTGCTTGATAGGAAGCTCGGTTTTCGAGAAAAAATAGAAATGTATAAATAGTCCAGAAATCGGGGGTCTGGGGTTCGAAATTTTTCGGGAAAATTTTTATTTTGCGAAAATCATGGTTTGTATGGGGACACAACCCATCTGAAAGTGCTTTGGTTTGTTTAGAAAATAATCGTCAATTGAGCTATGGAAAGAAATTAAAATTTTGGGCGAGTTCTTATGGAAGTTTGGACTTTAAGCTGCCATAAAATCGCCAAAAATCCTCCAAATGCCTCATGGTTTTTGAAATATTGCTTCTTTTGCATGTTGGCGCGCATTTAGCACTAGTTGAGCCCAATGAATCTTCAAGAGCAAAAACTGACTATTTAAAATCTGCGAAAGTAAGTGTTAGCGACAATGAAGCCTGATGATGGCGAAATTTCGAAAAAATTTTACTCGGTTTCTACAAATTTGCGATCTTTGAACATGTCAACTGCTAAGTGAAAGTCTGACTTCAATTGGAGGTCAAATTTCGATTTTTTTCCCAAAATTTGACGGAAACCAAAAAAGGGCCAGTGGCTTGCTTACAGTTGATTTTAGGGCAAAAGTGAATACCAACATTTTTATGTGTATTTTCCCATTTTTTCAGTGGCGAGCTCCGAATTTGCCTCCCAATAAATATTTTTTTGGAAACAGCGTTTTTGACATTTTTGCAAAAACAAATTACCCGAGGGGAGTGAAAAAATTACCGTTCGAATTTATGAGAACATTCCAACTTTTGATCATGAGCAGCAGCTTTGGTAGGCTTGGTTTTGGAGAAAAAAATTAAGCTATGAAAATTAAGCAAAATTCTATGGTTTCGGTCCCATAAATTTTTGCCCCAAAAAAAAATTTTGTTTGTCGAAAATTTTCCAGTTTTGAACCACTCAATACTGCTAAGTAAAGCTGACCTCAATTGGCGAGTTTTTTTTCGAATCAATTTTGTTCAAAATGTTAACGTTTTTTGCAAAATTTCACCGAAAACCAAAAAAGCGCCAGTGGCTCGCTTTCGGTTGATTTTAGGGCAAAAGTTAATACAAACTTTTTCATGCTTATTTGGCATGGCATCACAATTTTGGAGATATAAATACATTTTTCAAAACAGCGTTTTTGGCATTTTGTTAAAAACAAATTACCCGAGGGGAGTGAAAAAACCAGCATTCGAATTTATGGAAACATTCGAACTTTTTATCAAGAGCAGCAGATTTTGGTAGGAAGCCGGATTTCGGAGGAAAAAAATGAACTATGAAAATTATGCAAAATTCTGTGATTACGGCCCGATCATAAATTTTGGAAATTTTTTGTTTCGTATCTCGAAAATTTCCTTTGGTAGAAAGCTTGTGATGAACAAAACAAATGCCCCGCTAACTTAATTTGTTTCGAAAAAATATTTTTGCACATTTTCTCTACCCTGAAAGTTCAAACCGCTCAGCCCTAATTTTCCTGCATATTCGAACAGATCCAGAGCCAAACATTTCTCATTTAACCTGCATGCAAAGTACATGAATCCAAATCCAGATCCATTCAGCTAATCGCGATCAAATCCGTCCATATTCACCAGGGGCGATTTCCGTGCCCACATTGCCCGATATACAAAGTTCGGATAATTGTTGGCGGTTAGTTTGACCAAAAAGTCCCGTGGGCATAACAGTTTTGATAATCTCGATCATTTCTATTTAAATATCGGCGTCCAGCTACGATTAAACTGGATCACTTTAACTAATGGCCTGCCAGTTTAGTGGGCCTCGTCACGTACACGTTACGTTAATTAATTAGTTTAAGTGATTGCGGTTCGAGTTAATGTTAAATCGATTTGATGAACAAATTAAGTGTTTTTTTGTGTGTTAATCCAGTGACGAAGGCAGTCTGGATTCGCCCAGTGACCATCCACCGATTTCCAGCAAGGAAAATCTTGAAAGTCTGGACGATCAAGCGAACAACACCAGCACGGACTGTCCGACATGCACAGGAAATAACATCCGCAGGTAAAACCCCCGAAAGTACATTAAGTTGCTGTTCTTTACGCTGTAGAGTAGAAACTCATAAAAAGTATATTCAATCAGATTCACTCAGAGTGAAAGTTTGCAGATAATGATTGATTTATTGATTGATGAAAGAGAAACATTGCTCAGAATTGAAGATCAACACGGTGTTTAGTGTAAATTAAACCATCGCATTTAATCATATTATTTTTGTGCACGCAGCTTTGCAGAACGATTGTTCAGTTTGAACCAGCAAACATGTAGTGCCTTTAGGTAAGACTCGTTGTGGTGTGTTTTTGTGTTTTTCGCAGCTTTAGATGTAACATGTTTTCGCTATTTTACCCTTGCAATCACTTCACACAGTCACCAGACATTTTATGTGTTCTTTTCAGCGTCGTAGAGGAACGTCCAAACGAAGAACTGATTGTGGCAGCAAAAAGCGGCAATCTCACCCAGGTAAGTTGAGCGCGAAGCGCCTCCTGATTCTTCAATATTCTTGGGGATCTTTCAGCTGAAAGAGCTGCACTCTAGAGGGTATTCGTTAAGAACGCGAGACTCTTCGGGGCAGATTCCCCTGCACCACGCAGCTCGGTACGGCCACAAAGACATGGTGAAATACATCATCAGCATCTCCCCCAATACGATCGACGACAAAGACATAAGCCTGTAAGTGCGCCCCAAAACCAAAGAGGCCCTAGTGAGTTTTTCTGTTCTATCCAGGGGCCAAACTGCGCTACACAAAGCGGCAGCCCATCGGTATCGGGATATTTGCTGCATGCTGGTAGCCAGAGGAGCCAAGCTGGACATTACCGACCATCGAGGAAACACGCCACGCATGTTGGCTATTCAAAGCGAAGATCTCGATCTGGCAGCCTATTTATTAAGTGAGTAGTTCCCCATTAAAGAAACTCATCTCATCTGAATTCCTGATGTGATTGCAGGTCAGGAACAATTCGAGCTGCTCTCTTCTGAAGATGGAACCGCTGTCTAGTGGCCATTAGAACCAAGCATTATATGGAAAGTTGTGATATTATAAAATAAAATACTATTTAGACGCGTAACTCGAATGATGTAAATATGATAGGTATATTTTTCGTCTGGTAGTTTGAGGCCTGGGAGCCTGGAGGAACAATTAGCTCTAGATTAGGTGTACATTTGAACATTTAAAGGCCAAATATTGCCCGCAAGTAGTAAACCGGCTCTAACTTTGTTGATTTTCGATTTAAAAAACTTTTCCTCGAATCTATTTTAGCACAGAATTTGGTCGGGGCTAGTAAGAGTATCTGCAACGACCAAAATCTACCACCACTAGTCAGTAGCAGTGTTTTATACATACCTACATATCACCTAGAAGGAACATTCCATGTAAATATCGCACCCAAAATTCAGATCATGGCAATAAAACGCGACATTAAAATCAATGTAAATAGGGAAATTTTAAGGAATTTTAGGCCTTCCAAACACTTTACCCAAGTCCTTGTAAAGCTTCTTCACTTTTATCCTATTTGGGTCGGAAAAAACCCATGAGTGAATGCAAGCTTTGCAAAGACTGGAATTTATATTTGGGGAGATTTTGCCAAATACTGAGCGAGTGATTTAGTTTTCTTCCCCGAAACTCGCCCAGTATTAGAAGCCCACCTAACTCATAATCAAATAATCAAAGCGCAAATGTGTATTTTTGTAAGCGATTTGTCTTCATTGAGTGAAGCTAAGCCCACTTATTCTTCGCCCAAGCTTCAGAAAAACCCAAGCTTGGACGAAAAACCCATGCTTAAACGCTTCATTTCTGAGCCTTCGAAGCATTTACGCATGCTAAACTGTACTGGAAGGCTTCATCCAATCCAGGCCCGAGTGCATGAGCTCTATTCTCTAAGATATTTGTACTTAATGGACTGTCCTCAAAAAGCCCCAGTTTTCGGGACAGTTCGTATTAATGAAGAAATTTCAGTTTTTCTAATTTGGTGACCATTAATCGTGCATTGCAAATGGGATTTGAAGAACTAGTAGATTTAGGATTCTTGGAAATGACACGGTCATTTTGTTGCTGTTAGTCCTAGAGGTAGCCGATAAGAGTTTAACATTGTTAAGGGTTTCGTAGAAGCACTATTTGAAAAATATCTGAATTTTATAAATTCTACTCTAATTTAATTCAATTAACTATTTTAAGAGCAATTTAACAGATAATGTAACGTTAATCGCAATCTAGACTGTAAGCGTGTACATTTTAATCAAATACAATCTCGCTCGATTCTTTCACTAGTTCTTTAGAAAGAAATGTGATCTAAAAATCTAGTTTTAAATCTTAATAAAGTAATACTATTTTTTGTAATTGATGTAAGCCAAGTTTAGCGGGTTTCACCGTTTCAACTGGTTTACATCTACTTTTGTGATAATCCTACTACGAGTTGTTGTAAATAATTAAGATGCTAAGTTTTTTCGGTTTAACTCACACAGTCACAAGGCGTCTGATCTGTTTGCAGACCAGTGAGCAGAGAATTAGTCACTCTGTATATATAAGAAGCTTGTTCGAAGAATGTTCGATTAAATTGCCCAAGATGGTTGAACTTCTGATTCAAAAACCGGTTTTGTTTTAATCTAAACACTCTCTGCTCGCTGAACTTGTTAAATTCCCGACGAAATCTTATGAAAAACGTTTTACAAAGCTGTAACTTTAAGCCTCTAAGTTGGAAAACAAGGAAGCTTTCTCCTTGCACCAAAAGCAACCTAAACAGGGTCTGTCCTACATGCGCTCTTTCGATTATCAATTTTTTCTTTTCGGTTTGTTCGTGTTACAAATTTTCCAAATCTTCTGACTACTTGCAAGAGATTGAAACCCAAGGGTCCAAAATATATGTCTGGGACACTGACTATTTCCGCGAAAATTCTTTCAATACCAAAACAGTTTCCTACCAGTAGTTACGTAGAAGATTCCACGCACTTTATTTACATTTTTGCAATATCTACTAATAAATATAATTCTTAATATTAAGTGGATGCAGAAGCAGGGAAATTTCATTGGGGGATTTAGTGTCCACACGACCCTCAGTGCGAATGATCGGTGTTTGTTGGGTCGGCGGTAGGAATTTGGTCCTGACGTTTCGCCAACATGCATGGCCGGCACCTTCAGAGATGTCCAAATACTCCAAATTCCTATCAACGACGAGCTAATAAAGCGTTTTTTTAACGCTAAGTGTTCTAGTGAGGTTTTTGTCTAATACAGGCATTTTGCATCTGAATTGTAGTTTCATTTTCCGCCAATAAAACACGGTAGAACATCGGATATATTTTTACTCTATAAACACAAAAGCTGCAAGTAACTCTAAAGTTGCTCACGACTTAAAGGTGTTTGTTAATTTAACATGAGCTACGACTTTGACTCTATGTAAAAAAACCCTTAGTCTCTTTCGTCGTGTTTTCTTCTGTTGGGTGTTAGAGCCGTGGGTTTTCTCTATATAAATCTCTAAAAAAATAATAAATGAAAGCCTCTACCTGCTTTATCTCCAAAGATATCGAATATTCTATACGCGCCGGTTAAAAGCCGGATAATCAACATTGAACTAAGCTTTAAATTTCTCTCTCTATGTTAAGAAAACCGTCGCTTTTATAGTGTTTGTTTGCCTTTCCAGTTGTTACAGCCTCATGTTTGCTCTATATAACCACCAATTTGCAAGCATCTGTGTGCCCTTGTTCTATAGTTATCGAATATTTTACAGGCGCTTGTTAAAAGCTCGACAACCAACATTGAACTGAGCGTTATTTTTGACTCTCTATCATAAGCAAACTGTTGCTTTCAAAGTGTTTGCTTTTCCGGTTGTTAGAGCCTCATGTTTTTTCTACATGAAATCCAAATTTAAAGTATCTATCAGCTCCATTTTTAAAGTTACCGAATATTTTATTTGCGCTTGTGAAAACCGGAACAGTCATCAGCGAAATAATTCTTTAATTTGACTCTCTATGAAAAGCGACCAGTAACTTTCATAATGTTTGCTTTTGCAGGTCTTAGAGCCGCATGTTTGCTCTATATAACCACCAAGTTTCATGCATCTGACTGCTCTATTTCCACAGTAATTGAATATTTTACAAGCGCTTGTTAAAACGTGGGCAATCAGCGACCAACTCTTAAGTTGGTCGCTCTATAAAAACACTCTTCGTCCCTACAGTATTTGCATCTACAAGCATTGGAGCCTCATGTTTGCTCTACATAATCACTCATTTTCAAGCATCTGTCTGCCCTAGTTCTAAAGTTACCGAATATTTTAGTCGCGCTTGTGAAAACCTGAACGGTCAACAGTGGAAATAATTCTTGAATTTGACTCTCTATGAAAAGCGACCAGTAACTTTCATAATGTTTGCTTTTGCAGGTCTTAGAGCCGCATGTTTGCTCTGTACAACTACCAAGTTTCAAGCATCTGCCTGCTCTATTTCCACAGTAATCGAATATTTTACAAGCGCTTGTTAAAACGTGAGCAATCAGCGACCAACTCATAACTTTGTCGCTCTATAAAAACACTCTTTGTCCCTACAGTATTTGCATCTACAGGCATGGAGCCTCATGTTTGCTCTATATCACAATTAATTTTCAAGCATGTGTCTGCCCTAGTTCTAAAGTTACCAAATATTTTACTCGCGCTTGTGAAAACCTGAACTGTCAACAGTGAAATAATTCTTGAATTTGACTCTCTATGTAAAGCGACCAGTCTTCCATAATGTATGCTTTCACAGGTCTTAGAGCCTCATCTTTGCTCTATATAACCACCAATTTGCAACTCCAAACCAACTCTTAACTTTGTCGCTCTATAAAAACACTCTTTGTCCCTACAGTATTGGCATCTACAGGCATTGGAGCCTCATGTTTGCTCTATATAACCACCCATTTTCAAGCATCTGTCTGCTCTAGTTCTAAAGTTACCGAATATTTTATTCGCCTATGTGAAAACCTGAGCGGTCAACAGTGAAATAACTCTTGAATTTGACTCTCTATCAAAAGCGACCAGTCTCTTTCACAATGTTTGCTTTTGCAGACCTTAGAGCCTCATATATGCTCTATATAACCACCAATTTTCAAGCATCTGTCTGCTGTATTTCCACAGTAATCGAATATTTTACAAGCGCTTGTTAAAAGCCTGCCAATCAGCGACCAACTCTTAACTTTGTCGCTCTATAAAAACACACTCTTCGTCCCTACAGTATTTGCATCTAGGCATTGGATCCTCATGTTTGCTCTAACTGTAGACCAAATTTCAAGTCTCTACCTGCCGTATTTCCGAAGACAGAAAATCACAGCTGGCCAAACCGCAAAGTTCTAGTGAGTTTTCAAATCATCTGAACAGAAGTTTAATCTTCTGCCAATAAAACAAAACTCTATAGAATATCATATGTTTATTGGGTTGAAATAGCATACAAATCAAGCAGCATACGTATAAAAATTGAAAAGCAAAATGCACTTTCTCGTGGTCTGGATCGCAACCCCTTTAAGGCTTGCAGTGGTTCAAATATCTGGGATAGAGACAAACCTCCCTAATGTGGTAGCGGTTCAACAGCCAGCAGAGGAACCGTTCCAGCCCCAAGCCGTAACCTCCATGAGGACACGTTCCATATTTTCGCTGGTCGGTGTACCAGAAGTAAGGCGCCGGATCAATTCCCTCACGCTTGTAACTGTTAAGAAAAGTAAGCAAACTCTGAAACAGATTTTTCCTGGGTTAAAACCCCGATCAGCTTACCCTTCCAGCAGTTCCTCCGAGTCCCAGATCCTCATTGACCCCCCGACGATTTCGCCTACGTTGGGCAGCAAAACGTCCACGCTTTCCGTCAACCGCACGTCCTCAGGACATTTGCTCATGTAGAACGACTTGATGTTGGCTGGAAACCGGCACAGCATAATCGGCTTGTTTATTTCGTCAGTCATTTTTCGCTCAGGCATCTCTGGAATATCCTTAAAACGTTCCGTCAATTAGTGAAAGCTCTACTCTGGCTTCAAACGAGCGCGAAACTTCGGAGCAACGGCAGATATCAGCTCTCTGCAACAAAATTTACCTCTCCAAATTCGTAAAACGATCCATCCTCCTTGGTGATGTTGTGCTCCTTCAAGTAGTCAATAGCATCCGAGTAGTTCATTCGCATGAACGGACGCGTGGGCACTTGGAAGTTGGGGTTGAGTTCGCGCACGATTTCCCCATAGGGAGACTTTAACACGCGATCCACCACATCGCAAATCAGATCCTCCAGCCGATCGAGTAAGTCGTTAAAGGAAATAAATGGACATTCAGCTTCAACGTGCGTGTATCTGCAAAATAACCTCAATTAAGGGTGAAAGTTGTGGGCAAAAACCCGACTAACTCGGCCAGATGTCTTCTGGTTCTGCTCTGTTCCGCTCTGAAGCTCTCTGCAATGCAATAGACGTCCCCCATTGAAGGCAGGCAGGTTTCCAGGTAAAGTTGCGAGCTTTGGGTCAGGTAGGCTTCCTCCCTAAAAGCGAACATCCAGGGTCCAAAACCGGGGGAAAACAGAAGTTTAGAGAACTCACCCGAAATAGTCCAGCTTGAACAAGGTGGAGCCGCCTTCGACTTGCGTCTGGACAATAGAGGGCGGGGTCACTTCGCAGTATCCCCTATCCAAGTAATGGTCCCTGGAAGCAGCAAAATCAGCACCAAATTAAAGCGGAGTTGAGGGATGCATTCACCTGAAAGCCTGCAGCAACACGGACCGCATTCGCAGCACTTTCGACGTGTTTTCTCCCCTGATCATTATGTGGCGGTTTTCCGCCTGGACATCAGGCAGAGCTTCTTCGTTCAGGAGTGAATCGGCTCCTCCAGGAGGCGCCAGCCCGATCAACTCCCAATAGTCCACGTGCAACTCATGGCCGCCTGGAGCCTTGAATAGGTTCCAGTTAAGACTATAGTTGGGCGGGAGTTTTCAACTCACTGTTTTGCCTTCAGGAACTTGCTTTAGGGTGCCAAACAGCAAAACAGTGGACTCGGTTTGCAAAACCAGCGCGTTGTAGGTGCTACAAAGCTGGTTGCTCAGAATACACTGAAGGAACCCAGAGCCGTCTCTCAGAGTGATAAACATGAGGTTTTTGCCCTGGCGGCGCAGCCTGTGGACCCATCCGTTGAGCTTTACCCGTTTCTCTCGGTATTTTTGCCCTGCAACAAAAACGTTAAGCGATTGAAGCTATTGAGCATTGAAAAAATTACCGTTGGAAATCCTGATTTTCGTTGCCGCTGGCAGGCTTTTGTCCTCTTCAATGACGATTTTTTTGGCATCCTCCAGATTTTTGGCCCGCCGCTCCGCGTCCTCTTCATCCTGCTTGGTTTTGTCCGCCTGCTTGTGCCGGTCCCTGACCTGCACGAGAAAATCGGCTGGTTATCGCTAGAACCTACACCCAAACCGAGTAGTTACCCAAATCTTCTGAATTTTTTTCAGTTGCGATTTTGCAGCCACTTCAAATTTCACGCCCGCCTGTTTTCCATCCGCGTAGATGGTGGGAAAAGGCTCGCTTCCTGCTGAACGCATCGCCTGCAGGATGGTCTTGAACGGTTTGGTTTCAGAACCGTCGCCGTTTGCATCGTCTCCTGATCTCTCAGAAGTGTAGATTGCTGAGGATTTTTTTTATTATTCTCGTTGCTCAGTACAGCGGAGTGTGAACAACTTACCTGTTTTTTCTTGGCCGCCCGACATCTTGCTTAGACTGGTTGGAAACTGAAAAATTATGCACTTAATTAGACACACACAGAAAACGACTAGAATATTTGAATGCCCGCAAAACTGCGCTTAGAATCTTGTACACGCCGTCGAGTGAACGTTGACCTAATCACAATCTACTGTTGAAGTGAGCAAATTATGGCAATTTATCTGCAAAACAAGACGAGACAAACTCGCGTAGAGTTCCTGTTAAACTAAACCACACACGTAAACGCCTGGATTTTTATATGGATGTGCTGGGGGAAAGTACCGCAGCGCTTCATGTGCTTCCCCAAGCAAATAAAATTCGTTCCATTTTTAACTCCTGGGTTTTGGTTGTTTACCGAACAATCTCCATAGATAATTCGTCGCAAAACGCAATAGATAAGCAATAAACCGTGGTCAAACAGACGTCGTCGTAGTAAAGCTGGCAGAAAAGTAGACAATGCAAGCTCGTTATCTGCAACATTTACAGTAGCATTACTGCCTTGTTTGGACAAAACCACTGTTGCAGCAGCAATCGTTTGGCTGATGCAACAATGAGGAAAAGTTCACATTTTTGCGGAAAAAATCGGGGCTAAAAACCCTACAAGTCACTGCGACACTTCTATGTTTGAACTTCAAAAGGGGGCCCCCAATTGAGCTTCTAAACCTGGCAGAACTCCCAGATGATCAAAGGGGTGAAAACGCATGAAAACCATGGAAATCAGGGAGCTCTGCATAGATTTAAGAGCAGCTTCTCCAAAACAGCTGTAAATAGTTAGGGCCGGTCCAAAACAGCGCACATGGATGGCTGATGCAATAAATGATCTCAATAACCCCCATTTTTTAAATAAAACCTTCAGCAATTTCCATTGAAACTTTCATTGGCACTTTGGGAAAACTACTCACTTAACAGTTTCACTTACCTGAGTTTCAACTGAAACAGTTTAGCAGGACAATTGGGGTTTTTTCCCTACCAAATAATCTACCGGTGACAGTGACATCGTCACAGTTGCCAGTCGATGAGGAAACTCTGGGAAATCCCCTGAAAAACAGCTTCGAATGTGGAATATCAAAGCTCCAATAAAACTGGGTTGAAACACCCGGCAACCGCGCACTAGCTCAAATTGTCAATGTTTGACACAGACAAATTTCGAGGTTAATTACACAGCCTAGGCAGGACAGGAATCTTTGGGGCCCCAAAACACTCCCAATAAAGCACAATGTCCACGCTTGCAGCCCCAGTACGAGTCTCGCCAGTTATCAAAGTAAGTTCCTTAGATTAATCAGTGGTTTAGCCTCCATTGAAATCCCCAATCAAAGATTAAAAGCATTATGTAATGCGGTTGATACAGTTTTTCAGATGGAGCCTTTTGGGAACGGGCGTCGTTTACGGAGCCTTCCACCAGAGCAGGTTAGGCAAGAAAGAAGCAGCGCTTCGCGAAGCCGAGGCGAAACAGAAAATCATCAGGGACGAGAAGCTGGCCATTGAGAAGAAGCTGGCAGCAGATCGGGAAATCCAGGAGCTGGAGGCTTTGGCCAAGTAGATTTTGAATATTGGTAGTGCTAAGCGAATAAACGGTTGTTCCATGTAAGGCCACACTTTAAAATATAGTTCAGTGATTTGATAGTTTAGATTTAATTATTACTGATTTCCTTAAGCACTTTCAGCCACAGTGACTGTGTCCGATTGTTCATCATTTACGAGTATATTCGTCGTCACTTCTGTTGTCAGTTTGTCTTCGGCATCGCTTTCTGAGGACGATTGTTCTTCTTCAGACGACACATGATATTCACCTAGCTCCTGCTTTTCAACGTATCTGGAGCCAAACAGTTCAAAATACACTTTAGAGTAAAGGTAGAGGCGTTATTTGATGAGTTCTTCGCACTTTAAATTCGCGGTGCTCTTCAAGCCTCCACTAGAAACCCGATTGAGGTTTAAAAGCGCGAAAAACTCATCGGTTCACTTAATCAAAGGGGCATTTAACTGTACCTCTGGTAGAGCTGGTCGAGCTTTTCCTTGCCTTGTGTATAGTTTTTCTTGAGGGTGTTTTCCAGCGCCACATCTTTGGAAGCAGGATCCGAAGTCAAGTCGATGAAATCCAAGTGGGAGTCGTACAACTCTTGCCGGCGCTTTTTCTGTAAAATGCTGCCCAAGTGCTTGAAGCATTTTTCGCCTGAAATTTTTCAAAATTCTAAAAAATAATCATTTTTTTGAAGTTAAACACTAACTTTCCACTTTAATGCACTGCACACTGAGGTTCAATTTCTCATTGGTGACCACTTTTTTTATGCACTTTTCCACTTCGTAGTAACTAGGAAATTCCACACTGTTCCGATACTTCCTGCTCAGGGCCTGGTTGATTGCGTTGTATTTTGAGTGCACAAATTGGATTTTATCGTAAATTGCTCTGCCACTTTGCGGGTTGCGCCTGATATACTCGCAGTACTTTGCATAAACTTTCTTCAGCTTTTTCTGATACCTGCGAAAAATCCATTAACGCCTAGAACTAGGTAAAAAGGACCATGTTTCTGACCTATCACACATCAAATACGCGGAGTTCTCATCGGCGTCAAAGTCCACCTCTGCTTCATCCAGCTGTTTGATTTTTTTCCTTAATAACTTGATAATTTTCTCCAGCCTCTTCACCTTGGGTAAATGATCTGCCTCGATCTCTATAGTGCTGTTATGGATGTACGATTTGAGGCTCCCATAAACCTTGTGAAATCCTATGACTGTTTTATTGGCAGCATCGGCATTTGGGACGTTTTGGATTGTTTCTGTGGTTTCCTTCAGCATGGCCAAGAAGCCCTTTTCGTTCACATGGGAGGCGCTTTTTTGAAAGTACTTTCTCATAATGAGCAGTTTTTTAGGCAAGACTTCTTCGAACTCGGAGCCTACCAGTTTAGCCTTCACAGACTCTAAGAACGCTTCAAATAGAGCATTTGCCTCGGCAAAGTCACTCTAAATAGAACAAAAGCTTTACACACGGCTACCAAAATGGGCTCTAATATACCTCGTCTTCCAATGTCTGCGTCTCTGAGGCAGTAATCACTGAAGTTGTGAGAGCCTCGGAAGTTTCTCCATCTAAATCTTGGATTGAAACATCCATCCACTGATGAGAATCCGTTGAGGCTTGCACAGAGGTATCGGGCTGTGCCCCATTTGTGACCACAGTAACTGATTTTTTAGTTAGGGCTGTTTCAGTGTCACTGTCACTATCAATGACCAATACTTTGTTGGGGCTCCTCTTGCGCTTGGCAGGCTTGTTTTCCTCATCATCATCATCAAACAACATGATAAGTTCCGGACTTTTATCAGCACCAGATGGAGATTTTTCGGAGCCAACCATCTGAATCTCATCATCCGAGTCCAGGGTAACAGTGTCGATTTTTTTATCCTTGGGAACCATCGTCAGGGTGACTTGGGGCTCCGGTGGATCATACCGTTTCAGTTTCTAGAAAAAACTTTGTTTCTGATACTTGCCCCCCAGTCACTCGGTGACAATTGGTACCTTATCTGGTGGCTGATCGGTTTCTTCCTCATCTGAACTCAATGCAATGACCGATTCTAGCATTTTTTCGCTGGAGTTCCCTATTTTGCTGGAGTGGAGCTGTCTTCAAAATGGGCTTTGAATGCCAGCGGATAAACATTGGCTTCTTCTAGGTTATGTAGGTGCTGACTGACAAGTTCTACTGTACAGGTTGTAGCTTTGTTATTCTTTACCCTACAGTCTGGTACTAGGATTGCCGCTTTGCCCATTAAGACTATGCTCGCCTTATAGAAAATCTCGTAACAAACAACATTTTTCCTATACGTTTTTCGACCTAATGCCTTTTTCCAGGACTTTTCTCCCTCTGAAATTCACCAATCCAAAACAGAGCAACGGTCGCCATAATGGTTCAGCTCTTTGCGCCGGCGTGCCAGTAGAAATGTTTCGCATAGTTGTCAGTACTATATTACCACTTCCTTAACCTTTTCATGTAAACAAATCATTTAATATAAAATAGATAGTAATTAGTAATACCCAGATGATATACAGGGTCCGTCTTTGGGAGCTTACACTAGAAGTATTCTCCAAACGGAAACTACCAGAGTTCTGAAACTTTCAATACAAGGTAATGATGTTGGTGCCATAGAGTAAGTAAAATATTATTTTACTTTCTCTATAGTTGGTGCTAACCCATCTAAACTATTTTCAAGGCGGTACCACTTCAGGTTATACCGGAAGTAGGTACTTACTCGCTTCTTTTAAATGGAATACCCTGTATATTATTACATTTTCGGGTTCTCTGTCGGATTTTTGGGTCATTTTGTTAGATGAACTAGGTACGAAATTTCAATCGTTGTGGAATAATATCTATTTTTCCAAAAAAATTGACAGGTGGGGGCTTGGAAATAATTCGTTGTTCCGCCTATTTAGGTCAATCAATTTGAATATAACTTTAGCCTGTTGTAGTCGAAGGTGCCATCTCTTAATGTGCAAAAAATGAGCTTTGCATCTCTTATAAAAAAGAAGTTATGGAAAATTAAACTTGACTGTCAAAAAAGGCATATTACCCGAAAGATGCAAAGGGAAATCCCTATTTCTTTCTATTCAGATCGATTTAGTGACGAAAGTTAAGGCAAGTTTATAAAAAGGTTTATGAGGCTAAACGTAACAGTTTCATAGTTATTTTCAATAGTCTTTGTCGGCAGATTAATTGTAACACCGCGCAAAAGTTGATGACGCGAATCAACAGAACAGAGACGTAATTTTATATTCATTTGCAGTAGAAGGTAATTTTAGAAGCCAATTTTCAAAACTTTGATTCTACTCAAAAAAGACAGGAATTTTCACACAAAAATTTGATTTTTTGGAGAAAAGCATCCCCTTTCCTGTGGCCAATATCTTTTCACCTCATTTAACTCTGAAAATAAAATATTTTGAATTTGTACCTGCTGATCAGAGACGACTAGCAGGCAAATTTCAAAGCCAATTTGAAAAAGTCTTAGTTCAAGAAAAAGTGCTTTTGTGACAAAAAATCCTGTTACGTCCCTTTACGTCAACTTTAAAAATATCGAGATTTTTGCTTCCAAATTGCGATTATTGGAAAGAAATATGCTCTTTACAGTGACGTGACAACTACCTTTCGAGCTCATTTTATTATAAGTCTATTATAAGGCAGTTTTGCACGGTAGTTTTAAAATTCGCCTTGATTCAAGGAAAGGTGCAATTTCGAAAAAAATTCATGGCACAAAACCTATGCTACTATGAAGTACCTATGCTGCTTTGAGGGAAATAACAGGCCTTTCTGGGGGTTGCGTATTTGAGGAGGAAAAAAATGGGTGAAATTTCGTCTACCAAACAGTGGCTTTAGTAGGCAGGTTTGTAAGCCAATTTTCAAAAAATTGTCCCCACTGAAACTAAACTTTTCTCCAAAATTCCAAGATTCTCCAAAAATAATTGAGATTTTTAGAAAAAAACACATGCTCTTTCCAGGAGCGTCCACATTTGTTTCTAGTTTATTCGACATAGTAGATGAAATATTATTAAATTGCATCTGCTGAACACTGGCCATTAGTGGGCAAATTTGAATGCTTGCTTTTAAAAATTCGCCTTTTCCCAATTGGGCGATTTCAGAAAAATCTTTGCAAAATATGGAAAAAGTCTGCTCGTTCCAGCGAGATAAATAAAATTTTTGCCGCTATAATGGCGCGAGCAGAGAAAAGCATATATAAATCCGGATCTAGCTTGAATTTGAGTTTGATCTTTAGGCGGCTTTTGAACAACATATCAAGCCGCACGAGCTCAAAATTTCATAAAAATAGAGCAAAAGTCTGATCTGAGAACTTCTGAGAGTTTTGCTGCGATCACATCTTCAACGCGAATTTTTGACTCATTCTCCAAACCAAAAATCATGCTTTAGCGCGATTGATGTGAAAATTCAAGCGCTGTCAAACACGTGATTCTTATATAGGGTGTGAAAGTTTCAAGTTGCTACATGCTCTAAATGGGAAGTTATGAATTTTTAAAGTAAAGCGTGCGGTTTATTAAAAGTGCCCATTTTCCGTCGCTCTTGATAGTGCAATCAAAGTGAAGCATTCACAAATCATGGCATATTTTGCGAATGGTTTACTTTGATTCTGGTGGATCTGCTAAAAATTGTGCAGCCTCACACAATAGATCAGGCTGAAAAGGTTTTCATGTTTTATGACAATTAGCAAACGATTGACCGGAGAGCGAGTATCCCATGCTCGGCGTTGTTTGCTTATCTTTACCCGACATAGCAACTGTGTTTACGCTAAATTTCCAAACTGGATCGATCGCGGACTGGAAACTTGTAGAAAATCGTCAATAAGAAAAAAACTGAACTCGAACAGCATAGCAATGCAATGAGTCACCCAAAGGGCCAGCGAGCGAATTTTATGCTTTGCCGAGCGCGAAGACTTAAAAAAAAACAATTTCTTAGATTATGGACTTTATTACAAGACTACGTTCGTACACGACGGTTAGTTGTATAAAGACAAAGATTGCCGGTTTGCACTACTACTTATACTATTCTCCTATCTCTAATACAGTTAAGTCAGCATAGTGTCATGGGTGCTGATCTCGTAGTATTATACAGGGGCATCACTGTGTAGGAATATATAACTAGCGAAACGATTATATCATAATCTAAGTTCTGTACCTCGGTGCGTTTTTTATGTGATCAACACCTTAAGTTCGCACGAGTTTTATCGGAAATCTGAAATAGTTCGTCGGTTCTTTGTTCATAAACGGGATAAAAGTGTTTAGTGCCAATTTAGTGCCATTTAGGCACGAACGGTCCTTTCACCGGTCATCATTTTACCGGTTAATTGCTGAGTGTAATCCAAATTTATTTTCAACTTTATGTGGATTCTCATTGTGTGTTCGTGTAGTGTGTGTTTTTTTAAAGTTTAACGGATAGACAATGGAGAATGGAGCTCAAGTTTCCAAAAAGCAGGAAAGCATTATTAATCTAGAAATCCTTAACTTGAACTGATTTGAATTTTCGAGAAACATTGTTTCCAATCATAATCAGTTCTCGGTTAGTTCCAAATTTACAGCAAAATTTCTTCATAGATTTTCAAGCGTTTAGATGTTTCGTCCCATTTCTTCTCTGTGTCTTTCGTGTTCCACATTTCCATTGACCCGGGATTCCTATTTGATTCTTATTGTGGTGTGATATTTCGCTATTTTGTTCGAAATCAAATTTTCACTTCAATTTTCATCTCTTCTTTATCACTGCTATTGTTCGAGGTAATTTCTCTTCATTGTCTGAAATATTTGCCACATGATTACTTCAACAGATTTCTCAAAGATTTTCCTTCTCATTATTTAATTTGATTTCTTCAACTGTTCTTGATTTAGTAAACGCTTTCAAATTATTTAAGTCACATCCACATATAACTAGACGTTCTCTTCCTAACTGTCTTAGGCTCCATTTTTGTTTTACTCTTTTTGTAGCTTTAAGTTTTTGCAATTTTTCTCATTATTACTAACTATTCCAAGCTGTTTTCCGACGTTTCCTTGAATACTTGTTTTTAGAAATTCCAACATTTAATTTATTTTATATATTATATATATTAGGTATTAACGTCCATCTATTAATGTAATTTTCATAAATCTCCCGAAGAGAATTTGCTTTTTGCCTTTCTTATTTTATTCCTTAACTTCAGGAATTTACACAGTTTGGTACATTTTTTTAAACTATTGCGCTTATAATTAACATTTAGATTATTTTCTGAAAATTGTTTCAAAACAGAATCTAATGTTTCTCAATCATGAGTTTGTGTTGAATTTTAAATCTGATGATGGCGCTGTTGTCTCGCCGAAACGTAATATGAAATAAACGATATCAACATTTTTATTTCACATTTTGACTGAAGCCCAGGAAAGAAAAAATATAATAAGAAGTACACGCAGTCAGAGTAACAAATCAAAATAAAGTTACTTTTATTGTCATTTTTCTTCACTAGAATTTTTTCCTCTTGTTTCTGGCATCGTAGATTGACGTATGAATAGTTGTCTTATTCAGCTAATTTCGTCCTATTTTTTTTCAAAAATCTTCATAATTAGTTGGAGTTTTTTCGGAAAATTTATTATCTTAACCAGCGGCTTGTTTTTTTCGATTATTATCCCCAGTTTTTCTTTTCCATTTCTACTTTTACTGTAGTGTCATATAAGTTTGCTACTTAAGCATTTTAAAACGTTTTCGCATTGACCTGTTTGTCGTTTCCTTCAACCGACTGTTTAATTCACTTCTCCGTTAGTTGCTTTAGAGATCGTTTGCTTTTATTTCCAAGACACTGTTTTCAAACTACAAAAATGTTTTTGGCATTATTCTGTACATATTAATCTCAGTTGTATTTATTTTCTGTCTTCTACTTTCAGTTGTTTCTGTTAATTTTCCAATAGTTCTTACTGTTTTGCTTGTAGTTAAGAGGTTTCTTGACACTATTCAAGTTCTCGTACTTTTAAACTTTTGTTAAATTATTTGCAGTTTAATGTTATACATGTTTCTCTTCTTTACAAATTTGTAAAGCTGTATTTGGTGTTCCGAAAGACAAAAAACTAAAACTATCTATTAAAGAGCGCATTTAAAAGAAATACATAAATTAAACACTTTTTAAGGTTCTTTAGGTATGCAGACTCGGAGCAAATTTGCTGCGTTATTGCTAAATAAACACTTCAAAGTCGTTTCCCTGTAGTTATCTGTAAGAAAGACGAAGAAATGATCGTCTCGCCAGCACTTAATTTTCTAATTGCATGCTGATTTTCTTCTATATGTTAATTATACTTGTGCAACCCCAAATAACCATGGTTGAGATGAATTAATTTTTCATATAAAATTCAATTTTCTAAAATTAAACTAATATCAAAAGGTTAGTATCAGTTAAAAACCTGTTTATTAACTGCGATTATTTTTTCTATTGCCTCTTAACACTGTCTTCGACTTAAAAATCGAGGACAAATTGTGCGAATGACGTCAAATCTGCAACCTGAAATTGAATTCAATTGAGAGGCATTGACGCCATTAAAGATGATTTGTTAAGCAAACAGAAAAAGAAAGGACAACATAAATTATTGCAACAATACAAGCCTACTATATTATTTATACAACTGATTATCGGTATAGTGGTTTTCGTCGGTTTGTGCATAAATAACTTGTTTATTAAACTGAATTTCTGCTTTTAAAGGTACTAAGTAAGTACTGAATGGATGGCCACCAATAGCAATTGATTAAGTGGAAGTTAAGTTAAACACCTTCATTTTTTCCTCACCTGCGCTTTTATGATTCATTGAAACCAACTCACATTAATATGAGTTAACTTGTTTGTTGCCTAAGAGATTTTTTAATGTGAAGGACATTAAAGTTTTATTCAGTTTCCTATTTCTTTTTCTTTTTTAAGTTTATGTAATAATACTGATTTTTCTTTTTTCTCGAATGGTATAATGCGGCTTTCGATAAGTTTAGCATTACTTTTACCGTGAGTGATCCTGGCCAACCTATTTAGATTTTGCACTGTTTTTCCAATTTTTTTTTAACCAGCAAAACGTTGCGTGTGATCCTGGCCAATCCATATATAGACTTCGGGCTGTTTTTTCCAAATTTGAAAATTGTAGAACTTTCTTTTTGCTAAATGATCCGTGGTACGGACTTTCAGGGGTTAGGATCCGTCCAAATAATTGCATTTTTTATTATTTAATCGATTTACTGCATTATTGGAGCAGGTTAAAACGTTGCGTGCGATTAGATTTCGGGCTGTTTTTTTTCAAATTTAATTTCGTGTAAGAAAGATTACGTTGTTATACGGGTTTGTTAAACAAACCCAGGCCTTTAATGATTATTTTCATTTGCTTGTAAATATATGGGTATTTGTTTAAATGCTTGTATAATATGAATAATTTATTTTATAAAAGTATACAAAGTGCATATAAAGATATTTGCACCTTGTGAGTTTGATAATGTTGGTGTATTCGAATATTCGAGTTATGACTAGATATACTTATTCGCTTTTTGAATATTCGAATACTCCAATACTCGAATTATTCAGGTTTGATTCCGAGCCCGAGTGTCGTCTACTATTTCCTGTATGGACGTAATTCTGCTAAGTTTTGAACCACTTTTGAACCTTGAATCAATTACATTTTTGTTTGCACTGTGATTTCCTACTTTGGTGGCAGTTGGGCAACATGGCTGACCAGTATGCAATTTTCTGCTGCGCGTACCGTGCGTACGGGCATGTCCGCGTGTCCCAGCAGACTGTAGGGTAAAAATTTACCCCTGTTACCCCCCGAAAATACGCCTCAATAGCCCTTGGAAGGCGCCTCTGCTGCGATGAAAACTGCAGGATTAGTGCAGGTACGTCATAAAGCACGTTAAAGTTCATTTGTTGTCCTACATGACTTGATAATAAATATTGCGGCGCTCTAGGATTAAACCGGTTAGTGGCGCTCCGGGCTTCAATCAACGTGATTCTTTGGACAAAATATCCCCCCTATATGGTATGTTCTGTGATTCTTTGTTAAATTTCGTGCAGCTTTTGAGTTGTCTTTATCTATGAGTGTATACCCACTTCAACACTTTTGCAAAGTTTGGGAGTTTTCGCAGACGTCAAGCAATCATATCAACACTTCAGGTTTTAGGGCAAATCAATCAGGACGGTATTACATCTCTCTTTGATAGGAGCAACTTCGTATTCGTTGTCTCTGTTCTTCTCGTCAGTTGTCAGTAAAACCCAAAAATTTAATTATTTCCCGAATCGAAAACTTGTCTCCTTTGGCATCTTCCTTTCGCATCAACAGCCCCGTATTTATCTCTCTCTCTCTCGTTTTTCTTTTTCCGCGCAGTGCTCCATAGTCATGGATACTTTGACAGTGACAATGCGATTCCAGGTTAGGTTATGTGCGATGTCAGAATTTTGAGGATAACGACTAAGGTGCCACGATGTTTTTTAATCGCGTTTACCGATAAATAAACGAAACGATATGAAAAGTGCAGGTTAGATGAGTGCGATGACTGGTGCTCCACTATACAGGGCATTAAACGTGCTTGTGCACTCGTTATTCACGATATATCAGTGGTTGGTTGCTTGGAGGAAGCAAGGCGGTGTATTTGTCGGTGCTGGTCACGAGTTTGATGATGTTGAGGCGATTCGGTGTTTGGAAAAGGAAATTGCGGTGCAGAACAAGATTCCCAAACATCTGACAGTGCTGCTGGGCCAGGAAGAGCCTTCTTACCCAGACCTGGCTAATATTGTCCTCTGGTCAATCAGCCATCGCATTCGTTTTCTCAGCTTCTATGATTATCAAGGTAAAACACCCATTAACCGGGGGTAAATGCTTAGGAAAACCAACCATTTGATTCTAGGTGTTCTGTGGAAGCACCGGCACAAGCTGGAGGCCGCAATTAGTGAAAAAATCCCGCACAAAGACAGCGTTATCTGGCACAACCGACGCAGTTTGCCGTGCCAAGAGAACGGAAATGGGCTTCAAAAGAGGCTTAAACCATTGGCAGAAAACGGCAAAGTTCATGTAACCATTCACCTTAGGATAATATCCCCGCAAAATGGAAGGCAGAGCATTGTGCGATTGGCGCAAGATTTGTGCCAAGACGCACAGGCAGGAGAATGGACGATTGAAAGCCTGGACCAAAAGCTGCGGGCGGAATTCGAGTTTCCCGACCCCGATTTGGGGCTGAGTTGCGGCAATTTTTTGAGCCTCCTGCACTATCCGCCGTGGCAGATACGGGTGACCGAGTTTCTAAGCATTAAAACACACCATAGGATTAAGTACAGACAGTTTTTGGAGCAGCTGAGCATTTTTGCAAGCTGCGAGCAAAGGCTGGGTCGGTAGTTAGTCGAATTCCAGTTGTACATATTTATTACTACTATACAATTAATTCTACTCCCTGGTTGCATTATTGGCTCCCACGTAATCGGTTCATACAATGTCTCATGCTGATAAGCGAGTATTTTCATATCAATTGATTATTTTTATTAAATGGTCCGCACATGTTCAAGCGTATCGCATTTCTATAAATCGGGGTTCATTAATCGTTCAGAGTAGGATGTTTTTGCCGTGTCAACGGGCTTTTTAGCTGAAAAAGCCTGCAAGATATGAAGCAAATCACATTGAAAGCGGTTCAGTCAGTATCAAATGATCCCTTTTGTGGATGTGGTGAATACATAGAGGGTAAAATATGGCTTTTGCCCACAAATAAATTCCTGGCACCTGCCGCCCCCGAAATGCAGGCAACCAGCATAACAAAGCAAACAATGTCTGTACTGACATTGCCAAACACAACAGAAATGTTTGGTTAGTTTAATTGTCTTATCAACGGTGACAACGGTGCAGAAAAATAACACTTGAGATCTTATGCGGGAATTTAAATAAAACAGGTGGTTTGATAGACTTTAAGTGAAAATCGGTGAAATGTTGCCAGAAGGCATCAATTTGATTGAGGACTACGGGTTCAGGAGCTCCCCAGAGTCATGCAGTGACAAGTCCTTCAGCAGCACAGGTAAAAAGGAGAGGATTTAAGCCTCAAAGTGCATTGACTAGTGGTTTGGTTGTAGATCTTGCTGACAGCATGTCCGAGGAGGACTTTATGACCCAACTATCCTCCTCCTTGGACATTCCCCTGCTGCTTAACGCAGGGGAGGATGAAATGGCCGTATTGAATTCATTTCTCGATAAATCTCCCGATGAAATCCTGTCCGAGATTAAGGACTCTCCGGTTCGTCTTTTTGACGACGATTTGGAGGGCAAGGAGTTTGATTTTTTCGTCGACAAGCCGCCTGACCAACCGCCAGCTTGCCCAATGAACGATCCCTCATACTTCAACTACTTTCATTCTCTGAATGGAGCCTTAGCTGAGCATTTAGTTAACATTGATGACGACATTGGCCTAAAATCGGAGCTGCATTCAGAAGAGTCCTGTTCATCTACTAACTCCATTGAGCCTTCAACGCCTCCTCCAGTGATAGCCAAACGGGCCAACCCCCCCACGTTCTTTTCCACTGATGTGACCGCCAATAAAATTAGTCAAGCGCCGATGAGAACAGTGAAACCCTCCACGATTCAGGTGGTGCCTCAGGCGAAGCTGCCCATTAAAAGAGTGCCAATTAAGCCAAAGTACACCCTACCAACCAAGGGTTCCAACATTGTTCTGATTAAAAACGTGAAAAACGAGTTTGCAAATAAAGCCAGCCAAAACATAGTGCTTCTGGACAGTATTCCCGTAAATAACTTCAACTCGTTGGCTCCTGTGACTGTAAATATTCCCAATTCGTCAATATGTAGTAGGAACAATACGGAGCTTGATCCACGGGTTTTAAAACGGCAAGAAAGAAGGATCAAGAATCGGGAGTCCGCCAGCATATCCAGGAAGAAGAAGAAGGACTACTTGAACTCCTTGGAGGAGCAGGTTAAGCAGTTGTCAGCCAAAAATGCTCGGCTGGAGCAGGAAAACAGCTCCCTAAAGCAGAGGCTGGCGTTCTTTGAATCGGCTGGAAACTGCCGGTTCAGTATGGCAAAACGCGCTAAGCCCGCTTTGTTTCTTTGCGCCGTCCTCCTGCTTGTGGGTTTTAACTTCAATCTGGCACGGTAAGAGATCTAGGTCACCAAACATTCAGTAGTAAAGCAAGCCCAAATTTCCCCAGCATCTTTGAGGTGAAAACCGCCAAGTCTGGAGACACCAACTATCCGAAATTGCCAGATCATTTCAGCAGGAATCTGCTGTGGGCTGATGAGGATTCAATGAACAACCTGAACTTGAATCGGACGTACTTTTCATCGCTCACCATGTGTCCCGCCTCAATTAATCAAACGGAAAGCGCTCGACTGCTGCTAGAGCTTGAAAGGTTTGACACCACTCAGATGGGTTGAGAAGCGCAGTTTGAAAATCCGGTTGGTTTTTTAGGTGGATCGGCAAGCCGAAAGTCACCAAAGCTCCGGTCAGAGCGGCAGCGAAGCCAGCCAGTAAAAAGGCGCATATCAAGCGGAAAAAACTGCGTCTGGACTCGTCGCTCGCCCAGTATCGAGGCAGTAATGGGGCGCAAAACGACATGAAAACCGAACTAGAGGTTTTCAGTCCCAGGCTTGACCAGTTGTATTCGGAATTTTACCAGGCAATAAATCGGCGGGACGACACCTTCTATGTGGTGTCCTTCAGCGAGCAGCACATGCTGCTTCCTGCATTGTACCACAACAACACCAGACGTCCCAAGATGTCCCTGTTGATGCCCTCGATGTTCCACAATGGTTAGTAGACGCTCCAGTTTAAAACTAGTCAATCAGTGAAACTGCGAATTTTTTGCATTGTTCTAGAAACCTCCACACAAACTTATGTTCAGCTCATGCAAATTGACTGCGAAGTTCTGGACACCAAGCTGGTCAACGTGAAATATGGGACTATACCAAGACCGTATCGCCACTATGGGAATTCGAGTCATCGGACCGAGGCGAGCGGAAGAAGGGCCGATAATATTTCCACTGTTAAAAAATATGACCCTCGAGGAACGTACAAGCCCTACGTTTTAAGCAAGAACCTCTTAAAGGGCACTGACGACAGTGAATAACTTCAGTAGAATTTCAATTCATATTCCTTTATGGAAGCTCTCAAATATCCGGGTAAGCGTCTTTTAGTGCTCGTTATTCTGGTAAAGCGTTAATATCGTTACTGCTATTGTTTGCAGATTTTCGAGTCCTTCACTTTTAGACTTAGGGCGTGTTGGGCGATAAGCACTTTCAATATGGTGTAGGTAATTCTTAACTAGCTCACTTTGCAATATTTAGCTTCTAGTATGTTTGTTATTTCTAAATAGTTTACTGTATTATTAAACAAGCCCAATTTCACAGTTAATTAGCCATAAAGCTCCCAGCGAATAGAGAAAAGACAAATATCACCATAATGATGAGTTTTTATCGTTGAAAGCCCGTTGCATAACTTTCGAGGATTTATCGCGATAGATTATAAGCGTGCGGTTTGCGATAACGCATTTTGAACGTTATCGCTCAAGGTAGGAACACTTGAAAAAATTTCCTGTGTTTATTCTATTTAATACTGCTTGTTCTAAGTACAATTGTGCCTTTGCAGGCCACGTTTGGTTTTGAACAATTTCCGGCATAATCCGCATTGAACTGGCTCAACTTGTTGATGAGTTTGCAGGTGCTCTTTGAGTCCATCCATTCGGGCAAACGTTTTGCCGCACTTTGAGCACTCAAAGGGCTGCAGGCCTGTATGCGTCCTTTTATGCTGCTCTACCCGATACCTAAAAGCGCGACTTTTCGATTATCACTAATACATGCTAATCGAGCCCAGGCTCGACTCACCGCAGGTTGAATCTCATGTCACAAATATCACAGGCAAATTTCTTGTCTGGTTTGTGCACCCTGTGGAGATGGTCGCGCAAGTTGCGGAAACTCTTGAATATTTTCGGGCAATATTCGCAGATGTACGTCCCGTTCTCATGGGTGGAAAGGTGAATTCTTAGGGAGATTGATGTGTTTCCTGCGAAGTGGCACTTGTCGCATTTATAGAGCTTTTCGTTTTTGTGAATCTTCAAATGCAGGTTGAGGGAGTTTTTGGTGCCAAACCCTTTGCCGCAGGTGTCGCAGAAATGTTCCTTAATTTTCATATGAATGGCCGTAATGTGCTGGTTGAGCAGCGGCCCGCAAGTGAACGTTAAGCCGCAATGAGGGCATCTTCAGAGGGTTACATTAGACTTGAGCCAAGGGCTCAAGGAACGTGTCGTTACTTACTTGAACCTATCTGTGTGCTTAACTAGATGCTGCCGCATATTTATTTTTTTCACGCTGGTTCCGCAGATTTTGCACGGGATTTTATGCAGTTTTTCGTGCCCTACCAACAGCAACTTGCTGTTGAACTTCTACAATTGATGTGATTAGTCATTTAACTCGGACATTCGATTCGCTTACCATCGGACACAATTCGCATGCATATATCGCATCTTTGTGCGTGGTTAGATGGTCCAAGTAGTCCGTGTAGTACTCGAAGGCTTTGCAGCAAAACCCACAAGTTGCCTTCTGAATGTTCGCGACAATTATTTGATTTGGCTGTTTATTTTTTTAATACCTACAGGTTGTTGTGGTTCGTTAGGGCAACTCTCCGATTCGAACGACGGTTCTTCTTGGGCCAAGTAATTGGATTCTAGCACTACTTTCGTCTCCAAACACGTGGTTTTGAAGCTGTACCAACTGTCCACCTTGGCAACGCACGGGAGACAAACCAGTTGGGAATAGGGGTCGTTTGGGGCTATCTAGGGGTCACCGTTGCAATAGATCAAAGGCAGTTTTCGCCTGGTTTCCTCACCTTAATGCCCACGCATTGTTCAATGTTTTTTAGCAGGTTCGGGTGCTGTAGAACCTTGGTTCTTTGATCCCCGGTCGACAGGCAAAGCCTGCAAGGTTCCATTTCGTAAATTAACGTGATTGTTTACGACCTAGAAACAACTGGTTTTTTTTTAGATTGTTTTTGTTTATTTCACGGCGCCTTTGATACCACTACAGGATACCACAAAATATCCCCCATATCCCAGGGGGTATGTTCTGTGTTTGATACTTTGATTGGCGGCGTAGCACGATTGGGTGAAAGGTATGCAACATTGATGACTTATATGTGGTTTTTCGAGTTTCGGTTTTTTGTACATTTTATACGGAACGTTCAATTTTGCTGGTATTCACCAGCGGGTTTGAGATAGTTTTTCGAAAAATGAATGAACATTTGCGACAAAGGTTTTGAGGAAATTGTACGTAGCAACACTGCAGTTTGCGTAGTGTGGCGAATTTCACCAATGGCAAAAAACTTGGTTATGTTATTTGACGTTTGAATGTAAATAAACAATTGCAATTAGGAAATTAGCTAAATAAGTGCTAGCTTTAATTCGGTTCTGGTTTGTAGAATTACTTAGAATAGTGCGGTGCACAAGTGAATTTAAAGCCACGAAACTGTGTTTATTAGTTAAAAAATTGTTTTTACACCTGACAACGCTGAGAATAAATTAACTGTATGTTCCAGTTGAATAATAATAGTTGCCAGTCATTCTTTATTACTCAGACTCACAAAGTTTCTGACGTGGAAGTTCCCAGTCCAGTTAACCCTGTAGTTTGCAACATTGAAAACATCAATATATCGACGATTTTTCGCTAAATAATCCAGCACTGCCATTAATTTTCAACTGTTTATCGCCAAATCAATATTCGAATTATCGTCGCCCAAAGAGAATTATGCAACTGCCTGCGGCAAGCCGTTGAGAAGAACAGATTGATCAACCGCCTAAGGTAAATATTAATACACTTTATAAAAGCGTAGCCCAATTGGTAACTTTTAGGTGTGAGAGCACAAAAATGACCAGTATTCACTCGGAGAGTATTGCGGAAGTGCATGAGATGCCCCTGGCTGAAATAATCCGGCCAATTCCGCCGATTTTGGACGAAAAAAAGGTGGAATCACTGATGCGGACCATCATGAATCCAGCCACAGCGCCTGAAGTGCCCCCCATTGATGTGCTTTGGATAACTGGTCGAGAAGGGGGCAACTACTACTATTCCTTTGGGGGTTGCCATCGATTCGAAGCCCACAAGCGGTTAAAAACTGAGCTTGTGAAGGCCAAACTAGTGAAATCCACTATCGACGACTTGAGGGTTTATCTTGGATCCAGCACGCCGGAGTTGAAATAGTTCTGCAGGATATTAGACATTAAACGCAAGTTTTCGTTTCAATCCATTACATCATCGGCTTCCACAATAATTCTAATACTTTCATCGTCGAGGGTTTCTTGCATCGCATCGTCGCTGTTCGTTTGTTGATTTTCCTGTTCATCCGCCTCAAGCTGCTCCATTTCTTTAGCCTTAGAAGTGTATTTCAGGTAGTAAATGTAGTCGTCAAGGTTCTTGAGTATTTCGTGCAGCGTGTCCATGCTGGAAATCGATCCAAGTCGGGCAATGTGTCTGCACTTCTTTAGGATAATGTCGTATTTGTTTTCACTATCAAGTTCGCCATCTTCAGTCATTTTATCCGTGTAATCGGACAATGGGTGTAAACGGTTGCGCCGTTTGGGCATGAGCCGACTAAAAACGTCCTCATTCACTGGATGATTGTGCCCATTCATTATGTTGTAAACTTCGAGAAACTGCCCATTTTCTGTGGCTTTCAAACTAATGGAAGCCGGACAAGACACGTCGAATTGACGGGCCAAGGACCTAAACGATCGAAAACAACCGGTAAAATCAGCGCGTTTTGTATAACTCAGTAACAGACCTTCGGTTTCGTTTCCCTGTGCCTCTCGGCCGGTTTTTTTGCGAATAAAAACACGCATATCGCAAGTGGTAGAACTCCAATTCGGGATTCATGGGGCGTTTGACTTTTCGCTTGGCTGCTTCTAGTGTTCGACTGTCTCTCTTGGAAAATCTTACCAAATTCTCCCTTGAAGTGTCGTCCAGTTTTTCCTTGAACTCTGCGAACGAGCTGAACTGGTCGCCCACTTGGATGTCCAGTGGGACATGTACCATTTCTTCACCACCGTTTTGCACTTCTTGATTCTCATCCTGATCCTCTTCAAAGGCTTCCATCTCGTCCATTTCATTCCCCATTTTTCCTTATGTGTGTTTTTTAAGACTTTGAGTGAACTAGGTGATGTTTTTCGCTTAACCGATTTCTCTTAGTGATTAGAGTTGATTTGGCGCTAATTATGCGGCATTTTCGACAATTATTAGTTGAGAAATAGCTGCTAATATCAACAAATTGTTAACCTAGATTCTGGACGTCAATTTTGATGGCTGGCGCCCTCTCAGTGAGTGCGTTCCACAGTTGCAAGAACTGTTAGGATTTTGAAGTGATTTTTAATTAATTCATTTGGCCGTATTTGCAATTGTTAGCTATCTGGACGAGTTCGGATATTTTTTTGTAAATATATGCCTTATACTCTATTAGCAGTTGTTTTCTTATTATTTGCCCTGTTAGGCCACAAGCTATTTTGGAGGCAAGGCGGCTTTTATTGTGTAGCAGGCACATTTTAGTCAATTTTTTTTGCATTAATCAAGCTTTTTCTTTAAGTTAAAGCAAAGCAAAAAGGGCAGGAATACTGCCGTCACCTTGCGTCTCTTTCCCGTTTGTCCTCAATTGATACTAGAAAGTAACTGTTGTACAATTTCTTGTTTCGCGGCGTTCTCGCTCGCACTCATGGATAACGGCGCCAAAAGTGCTAGTCCTCTCAGGTTCCCATCAGAATCCTAGTTCGAAACTAGAAAGTAACCAAAGCTGATTTCTAACAGTTGCTCAGCCTGAAGTTGCAGCTTTTTTGTCGCGAGTGTGCTGTGTTGTTTTTGGAGACTGAAAGTGGACTGTATTTGTATATATCGGTTTTAATTTGTTTAATTTGAAGAGTAGATGAAGGTAAGAAGCCCGTGAATGCCAAAGAGCCGAGTTTGGTTGATGGAAGTGGAAAAATCGGCCAACTTCGCCCGAATATGGATACGATCTATCTCCATTTTAGCTGTAGCTAAATCCTGCGTCACTGGTGGTAAACAAAAGCTGGTCCTTATTCCATCTCATTGAAAATTCGGCAAAAAACTGCCTTCTTCCACCAATACAAGCACACCGTTAGTTTGCAAGGGAATTTCGAATAATTGTTTACAGGGTCACGGTGTGGGTTCTTTGAACTCTTATTCCAACCTGCCATTCATTGAGGCTTCCCTTTACAGTCGATTTGACCAGCGGCATTCATTTATTTGAGGAAATTTTTCAGTTTCATGGTTCACAACAATTGAACCAATGCAATGATTTATGGGGAGTTTAATGAACCACCCTGTATAGTGAGGTGCTTTCAAAGACTATTCAGAAATTTTTCCCGCAATAGGCAGCGGTTCTTTGGAAATCACCTGTTGCATAGTTTGAAAAAAATTAGTCTCATCACTGAAACTGGCAACATCCAGAAGACACAAAGATCTTCACACTAGCTGTGATTATATCAAGGCACTAGAACTAGAGTTTTCTAACTGCGAAAGACTCTGCAAACAACCAGCCTACGAATGGACAAATAAACGTGTTCTTGGGAGCACAATTGCTAAAAAAACCATACGAAATTTGACTATTTTTCCTCCTGAAACGGGCTAGAATCAATCAAATCAATCAAAGTCAACCAAGCCCTGCTCTCTTTATCTTTATCATCTTCGTTTAACACTTCTTAGGCTTTTTTGCATGTTTTGCAAGCGCTCATTATTAATTGAAACTTTCTTTTTTGCAGGATAAACTATGCCTCGAAATCCAAACGACAAATATGACCAATCCACATCATCGTATAACGTGTCGGGAGTGCAACGAAAGACGACTTACATGTCTGCTGAAGATCAAGCCAGTGGAAAGAAATCCACATGGACTGAGCTTGAGATAACAGGGGTTATTCATAATCTAGCTCCCAGCTTGTTTCAAATGGCTCATTTGACAGGTAGGGCGAACCTTTGTGGTAGTGTGGAACGCATTTCCTGTTGCCATTAAAGGGCATGAGCGAAAATGCCGTAGTCAATTAGATATCGTTATTCTTGGCAGGTTGGCGAATGCGCCTATTTGCAATCTCACCCTGATTGTCGTTGACAAACGGTTTGTGTTGTTCCAGGGCTATTTCTAAAGAGCAACTCATTGCACCGAATCCCTCCCGAAATTTGCCAATTGAGCAATCTTCGAAATCTGGACCTGAGCCACAATAAATTGCGGTCGCTGCCAGCTGAATTAGGGGATTTGATCCATTTAAGGTGAGCAGTCGGGGCTTGTAACGCCGAATTTCCCATCTATTCCACAGTTTTTAGGCTGTGTCACCCTACCTTCCTTAATGGCCTGTGGCATTATCCATGTGTCTTTACAGTTCCCCAATATCCTCATTCTTTTATTTTGCAATGTGCGTATTATTCGTAAAGTTTTGTAAACGTAACGTAACAGTAAACGTTTTGTCTGGTTTCTTCCAGGGAATTACAACTTGGATACAATCTGCTTAGAATTCTGCCTTACGAGCTCGGAAAGCTCTTCAACCTGATGACTTTGGGACTGACCGGAAATCCACTGAGCAAGGACATTATGAGCTTGTACAATGAACCGAATGGGACGCATCGGTTGCTCACATTCATGCTGGATAACTTGCAAGGTAGGTCCGTTTATATCATATTTGGCTGAAATGGGGACACGTTGTGACCGAGTTGCACACGACAGGCTGTGCGCCTTTCCCCGTCTAAGTAGAATTATTCGGACTTAATTGAGATTTAACGAGCTTAAGTATAGGGATAGTACAACTAGTGCCAGCCAATCAGTATCTCACATTCTTTAAATCACTGCTCGGACGTCGATAATCCACACGATGCCAATTTGCTGCCTTATTCAGCAAGCACTTTCACGGCCTAGTAACTTAACAAACATTCTCATGCCTTTTCGAGGGCGATCATCTACACGACAGTCTCATTTTGTCATAGAAATGGCACGCGTGTTCACATCGGGTTTCACATTTTACACAGACAAATTCTTCTCGAGGTAAAATCAGGTCATTCCTGCTGCGGAAGATTGTTGTGGCTGCGCCCTCAAAACGTTCACCTTTGGCTTAATAAAACTTTAAATACTTTGTTTTGCACAATAAATATTGCGAGTGTGAGAGAATGAAACTACATGAGACCCGGACGATTAGGATCAGAAGACGTGCCGACAATATCAAATGTTTGGAAATTCTTCTTCGCTCAGTCATCTGTTGTGGAAGAACGAACGTGTGCATGCAAACAAACATATTAGTCACCCGTTGCAACAACGTGTTGTGATATTTCTGGTTTGCCGTGCGGTTTTTTCGTTCTCCTGTTGATTTCATAACAAGTTTTTTTGGGGGCACGTGCGAATACATCAAGCAGGAATGCAATGGACCGAAGCCGTTTGAGTGCGCCAAATCTGAATAAATTCATATTTAGTTTGATTAGTTCTATGTCGACGGTTATTGCGAAAGGCACGGAAATCCTGCCAGCTTGATTACTTCCTTCATCTCGGCAAAAACTAGAATTTGTTCAGAATTCCTGTTTGTTGTTAATGAGGCCTTTTCCAAGGGACAGTGGGAGTTTTATTGCTTTTTATAGGCGGGATTTGGAAAATTCCTTAACGGTCCATCTAAGGCCGTAGAAAATTGCAATTTTACCGAAACATAGACAGAAGGTGTTTTTATATGAGGCCCAAGTGAAAATTAGCCAGCAAGGCTGGTTTTTGAAAAATTATTTTTTTAAGAACTCCTGATTTTAACTTTGAAAATTCCTGGAACTTTGAAAATTCCTGGACGACTTGACCTAAGCCCTAGAAGGTTGCAATTGTGTATACACATGCTCAAAGGCAGTTTCGTTATTATGCGCAAGTGGAAATTGAATCAAACGACTAGTTTTCCCGAAATTCATTTGCCAAAGAACCGAAGCCGTTTTCGCGACTTTCTCCGAGTTCGATGAAATTAAAGCCCCATTCGCAACACCTTTCACCTGTTGTTTACATTCTGCGTATGCATCAAAGCCATTTATTCTCCTGCATTAGAAAGGTTTTTGCGATTGATCTTCAGTTGTACGAGGGTGGAAATATCGGTGTTTGGCCTGAGATCAATTGGAATGAGTGTGTTTGTTTTTGGACACAAGTCGGGATTAGCGAGCTTCGCTACGGTCCTGCAGAATGCTTTATGACTGAAACCGTTCCTAATGCACGTAATTGTAAGCTTGTCGTGTCCACTAAACTCGTTAGTCATGTTATCGTTTTGTCTATGACAATGTTGGATACTACTGCGGTTTCCAGTGCCCGTCTTAGACGATAATTGCAGGCGTAAAGCGACAGGCTTACGGTTTCATTAATACGGTATTATGGCAGGAATTTGCATGGGAACATTCGTTTTGGCGCTAACTGCTTCATTATCTACAATTTTTTCGGTTTTTTCGAAGGAAAACTGTTTGCTGATTTTCTAGCATTTCTCGCTGAATAATAATGCGCAATCGACATTTCCGATCGGCACGTTTTGCCGTGGTTAATGAATACCAAATGGTAACTCCCCTTGGGCTTACCCACCTTGCTGGAGCTGGGCGTGCGACTGTTGAGATGGAAATTATCAAGTTGTGTAACGTATTATTTTACATTGCGTCATGGCAGATATTCACCTGCTCATTGTACGTTAATACATCGCTTGGAGCGTTTGCAAAGTTAGGGAGTGGAGATTATTTAACAGCACTGTTTGCCCATCGATGTGCCTCTTCTTCGATTTTACAACCACCCATTTCCTATATGGCAAAAGTCCACAATTCCAACCAACTGGCAGCCTGTCTGCGTTCATTAATACGAAATCTAAATTAGGTATCGGATCTTCTGACCCGTAACATTCAGATTTTCAGCCAGAGAGGAGAAGTGCTGCACGTGGATTGGCGTGAACTGTCCAAGCCAAGCCAAGTGTATCGGCTCACAATGAGCACCGGGACGTCGGAAGTTATTAAATCCTGTTAGTTTCAACTCGGAATTTATTGCCTTCATTCGCCACTAAATCTCGTTTTTTTCGCTGCCCCTTGTCCGAAGCTGCAGTTAAGTTGTTGCAGTTTGATTGCTTGCTTCTTCCCGTTCTCTGCCGCTTTTTATCACCGGCCGAGTGCTGGTTATTTGAAGGATCAAACTCTTCAGTCGGGAATGGAATGGAAAAACAATGGTTGCAACATTAGCACTGAAAGGCCATTGAAATTTCAATAAAAATGTGTAGTAATTGTCAATTGCGAAATGAATTCACAATAGCGAGGCCGAAAAACGGATTTCGGATAAATCTAGCAATCTTATTGTTGTATTCGGGCTTAACAAATACAATGGATTTAAGCAATATTTGGGTCTGTTGTCGTGGAAGATTTGATTCCACTAATGTGCAAAGCAATGTTTTCTTCGTCGGCACGTTTCCATCTACCAATTAATCATTTTGCAGTTATTTTCGACGGTTGATGAGAGAACTCAAGCCGGTAATGAGGCACCTACTTGCCCAAACTGCCGCAAAAATGTTCATTAAATTTTAAGACTATGTTTGAATGTTTCCATTTACCGTTGCATCAAATTTTTTTTAGTCTAGTTGTTTTTAATGCACTTTAATTAGTCACCGTGTAGCGAAGGAAGCCAATCTCCACTCGTCATATTCACACGATGTGGAGATAAATGGCCTAAGAATGTATATGGGAAAATTGTGTCATGGGTTCCAAGAATTTGAATAAATGGTGGCGATTTAAAGTAATTGCCATTATTTTTTTTTCAACCAGTTGAGTAAATCGAGGCAAAGCGATTTGTGGTTTATTACAACGAAAACTCACCGTTCACTCGGATTTATGCCCTTTTGTCTGCTTTTTATCGCTGTTTCCATTAGCAGGATAATGTTTTGGGTTCCACGCCGGCTTTTACGACAATTTATGTCGGTTCTGGTCTGAAGTTGTTACCAATTATACCCTTGGCTCGATTTATTTGACTAGGAAGTCGGGAAAAATTGTAGTTTTTGGGGGTGGACCAAGTTATTTGAAAATTCGCCAAAGTTCGGAAAATTTTACAATTTAATTGGATAAGTTTGCAGTTGAAGACGTTCACGGCCGGTCAAATCACATATAGAAATGTTTTTCGGGCTTTGAAGCCTTGGTTCATGGGAATTTCTTCCTGACGTTTCGTCCACCACTGCGGTGGACATTATCAAAGGCGATAAGGCAATGGGCGAAGTGATCTCCATTGCTTTCCGACTACCACTCGTTCAACAACTTTTTTTCTTGATTTTGAACAAATTTATTAAAGTTTTACAATACTTCTTACTGCTACTTATTCTACGGATCCTTAATGCTAACATCTTGTTGTTATAAATKACATCGTATGGCGGTTCAACTACTGGATCCCCTGTCGTATTTATAGCAAGAGCGCAAAGTCGTATTATTAGCAAAATTGCAGATCTGTTTTCTTGCGTCCAAGCCTGGTTGAGCGCGAATTAAAAAATCGCGGAAATTGGGAAATTTTCTCAATTTTTTGATAACTTTGCGTTTTTGATTAAAAATTTAGTTTTGTGATCGGTTTTTGAAAAAATCTTATTAATTTTCTTAAAAAAATGGGAGAAATTTATTTTCGTTTTTGTTCCAAATTAGACGCTGAAAAAGTTTTTGTAAAATTTCTACAAAGCTATAGGTTTATTTTGTAATTTTTCGCGTAAAAGACCTCCAGATCGTCAGTATTTTTAAGTGAAGCTCTACAGTCTTCAGAAAAATGGAGGTGACGAGATTTCCAAATATTTTATTATAAACTTTTGCTGATTCTATTCGTTTTTTGATAGAAAATTATTTGATTCTTGTCCCAAATTCGAGGCTGAAAAGGGATTTCGAAACTTTTTACAATGGAACGAAGGACGCGAGAATTTTACTAAAATTTATTTCATAATTTTTCTCTGAAAATACCTAAAAATTGTCAGTATTTATAAGTTAAAATACGTTTCGGTGTTTTCCACCATCATCAGTTTCTATGTGTTATTTGCGTAGAGAGAATTGTTTAAAAAACTGTGCTAAAACTGGAATGAGCTGAAATTTTACAGAAACTTTAAAGATCTTCAGAGTGATGAGGGCGTCGAATTTTCCTAATTATTTTTTGTAAAATGTTGCTCTCTGGTCGTTTTTTCAAGATGATCTTAATTACTTTCGGTGAAAAACTGAATAAAATTATTTGGTTTTTGTGCCAAATTTGCAGCTGAAAAGGGTTTTCTAAAGCTCCTTGCAAACCGATGAATGAGGCGAATATTCTAGCAAAATTAATTTTCAGTCATTTTTGGCTGAAAAGACCCCATTATTGCCAAAAAAGAAGAAAATAATCAGAAAATTATATTTTTTGCGTTTTTGTTCTAAAACTTTTAGTTTTGTGAGATCGGTTATTGCGACAACCTTAATAGTTTTCGGGAAAAAACGGGATAAATTTATTGTCGTTTTTCTGCCGAATTCGACTCCGAAAAAAGTTTTGTAAAATTCCTACCAAGCTATAAATATATCTTGTATTTTTTCGCGTAAAATACATCCAGGTCGTCAGTATTTTTAAGTCAAACTCTACAAAATAGAGACAAAAAATTCAGTCAAAACTAAAAAACCAAATTTTTTTAACAAACTATAT